TTTCATAATTCATAATATTTTGGACTTGTTAGAAGAAGTCTTGTGTAATTTACACTTGGGTATTTATTTTTTTATGGATTTTGGATATATATTTAAAAAATTAAAATTTATAATATTGATATATATATATATATATATATATATATATATATATATATATATATACTCCGACCGTGACAATTAACAATACCTGTTACATAGTGCCCATTTTAGCTTTTACGATGATATACAGATATCTCTTTGTCTTGAGATCTTTTATTTTGATTTTATTAGTGATATTAGTATATTTTTTCTTCATATATAATATTATATTGTATAATTTTTTTTTATCTGAGTTGATTAAGTATTGGCAATTAAACAAGGTCTATAAAAAAATAAATGAATTAATTACTTGTTCGTGTTGTGTTTGAATGTGTGGTCATAATTAATTAATTAATTAAATGGTATGGTGCAGAATGCAGAGAGAACCAATAAATGGGAGATGGGGAAAGGAGTGAGTAATGGAAGAAGGCTGCTGCTAGGTGGGCCCGGGTCATCGCCGCCGCGATGCAATTACAAATGCGGCAAATGCACGCCGTGCAAGGCGGTGCATGTGGCGGTGCCGCCGCGTGGGATGAGAGTGACGGCGGAGTACTACCCGGAGGCTTGGAGATGCGAGTGTGGCAATCGCTTGTATATGCCCTAATTAAGTTCTAATTAATTACCTTTTTCCATGAACATGTTATTTGCAACATAGAATAATGATTTAATGGGTAATTAGATGGTTTAGTGCAAAGATGTTATTATCTTTAGATGTGTGGTTGATCCTCCTATTGACACTCAAACATATCCGTGTGTAGTAGGGGTGAAAATTGGAACGAAATTTTCGATTTCGTCGATTTCGATCCAATTTTTTCGGATTTTGGAATAATATCTTTCATTTTGAAAATCCAATCCTGATTTTTTTTTTTTTTTTTTCTGTGTCGAGATTGGATTATATATGAGATTCCCTTTTTCGAGAAATCCGTTTGTTACACTTTCGGTAACAATATTATTATACATTTTTATATTTTAGGTGACAAAAAAATTGGAACTTTCTGAATTTCGTTGGACCAGAAAAAAAATAAAAATAAAAATAAAAATAAAAAAGGAAAAAAGTTTATAGAAGCAAGAAAATTAAGGGTAAATTATGAAAAACCTCTGAACTTAGGCTAAATTATATTACAAAAACGCCTCAACCTAGCCATAATTACCAAAATACCCCTGATCTTTATTTCTGTCTTACACCGACCCCCTTACGGTATGATTGTTAACGTAAATCTTTTTTATTCTAGGAAACATTCTCCGAAAAAGACCAATATAACCCTGCATATGTTGACATATTTAATGTAGCCATTCACATTGTTTAAAAAATTGCCTAAATATGCTATAATGATTCATATTAACAATGGAAGAAGTCTACTAACATTGCAATATGACATATTAAAGAAAAATAGGTTACTGTAGAAGGTATATTAAAACCACTTATCTTTAAGATGCTGCTGCTTTTAGGGGTAGAATCAACATTTTTGAGGAAATATTTTCTAAAAACAAAAAGATCAGGTGAAAAACCACACTGAACGGGGTCCGTGTACGACGGAAACAAACGTGAGAGCGATTTTGGTAATTACGGATAGGTGGATGCATTCTTCGTAATTTAGTCTAACTTTGGGGATTTTTGTAATTTACATTAAAAATAAACAATTGTCATGAACTATTGGAGAACAAATCTTTGCAGAGCTCCCCATAGAATCTGCAGACCAAATCAATATACACCGGAGAATTCAGATTCTTCCAGCATTCAAGAAGCTCTTCTGCGTCGACCAAATCTCTCATCTTCCCATCTTCTCCGATCATCTCTATCAGATACTTCTCGAAACTCTTGCACGCATCTTCCACGTCATCATCATCTGGTATCGCCACTACTGCTCGATCTCTTTTATGGGGCCCACCCATCCTTACATACGCCGGCGTGAGCGGCGACGAGTGCGGCGCCCTGTGGTCGGAATAACTCGACGTCGTCAGCATCGCCACTCGGCCCGTCTTCTCCGATCTCTTCTCCCTCAGCGAGTGCAAGAAAGACTGCATCTTTGAGATGCACCCTTCCTGTAATTTACTCTTGATTTTGGGTTTCCGGTGGTGGCGGCGGCGGGAATGAAGGGGCCTGATGCAGACGGGTCTCCGGAGGCGGAACTTGAAGAGGTGGAGGATTCTCTTGCATGGTTTGAAGAGCTTGAATTTGAATGAAGAAATATGCCTCAGTTTCATCGGAGAAACACGCACACAATGTGTTTGATGATTTGTCTGAATGGCTGCAGTTGTCTGCCTTATTTAAACAAGTGGAAATAAATAGTGTGTGGATTTCACGTCGTCTACTTCCATTTGCCGAAGTGCTGTACCATGAACTGTAACTTTTGAGGCCTCTCAAGGAATATTTTAATATAAAAATTAGTCTAAAAGATTTTATCCTACTATTAAATTATTTTATTTAAATTTAGATATTACAAGTATTAATTATTATTTTGACGACTAATTCTTTTCGTTTGAAATTGCACACTACTAAATTTATATATTAGTAAGTATTCTTTGGACCATTTCTTTTCATTTTGAAAATTGCACCTACTTTTGAGTTTTGACTATTGTTAAGTAGGGGGCGATTGACTAAGAGTTTGTGACCACTTTTTCGCCTGCACAAATTTGTTAGGTACACAAATATAATGATACATAAAATAGAAATCGGAAAATAAAGAAGGGAAAGAGATGGACAAAAAACAGTAGTTTCAACATATGGAAATGTTATTACTTTTAAACGGTTCAATTCCCTATTGTCCAATGTTCGATCCAGAAATTCTAATGGATGGCGACTCCACTCGGAAACTAACACCAAGTCACAGCCACACAGACAACCAGTCAAACAGAACATTCTTACACTCAGTTAACTTTAGTTTTCTCTCCATCATAGACTCAATCAGTAACATAATGGGATTGAAAGAAGAAAACCTAAGGATGCGTAGAGATAATTAGGTATTACATTTGTCCCTCTCTCTTATAAGGGCAGTATAAATAGGCACAAAACCAATGGTAAGCGGCAACAAAGTTGCTCCTAAGTTAAAGTCGGCCATGTAAGGCAAAGACTTTGTAAAGAATTACCGAAAAATGATAACCTAATGACAAAGGTACTGTTCAGAAAGAGAGGGAGAAAAGATAAGAGAGAAGCGGCACATTCAAACTGAGACCATGGTTGAGAGGAGACAGCAAAGTCCAAGTGAATGGACGTTTACAATTAAACAAAATAATCTGAACGGTCAAGATCAAGATCAAGAGCATTGACTATGATCAAGAGGGTTGATTATGAACGACTATGATCAAGAGGGTTGACTATGAACTGAACACTAATTGGTTTGGACATTTCCAAAAATTGGGCCGCCGAGATTTATTTGAGTCTTGTGCCCAATCCCAATATTTTGGTTTTGTAAGAACTTCCCCGCTTTCTTTATAAAGTTTCTCAGATCCAGCAGCCGAATTCTCAATCAAATATATTTTCCCCAATCGAATTTCGTCGAACTTTTCAACTACTCAATCCCAAACACATTTTCGTCACACGCCACTTCATAAAACATTTGTCCAATAAAAACAAAAACGAAAAAATCAGACGCCATAAGCAGAACTAGTCAATATACAAATTCCCTGTAACAAAGTAAGATAATACTTGCCACCAAAAAAATGGCATTAGGTGTCCTCTACCCAAAATGTACTAAATGAAACCCTACTTTACAGCTATCCTGTTCCGTAAAACAGTCATAAAACAACCCGAAATCAGTCTCCAAAAAAAAAAAAAAACAGTTCAGAGATTGCAAACTAAGAAAGCCAATTATATACCTACCTAAAAAGCCCTCCTCTCTCTAGTCTGTTAGACTCATCTAAAACTCGATATAAATCCTTTCTCACTCTTTTTTTTTTTGTACAATTTTAACCATATCCAAATCCCTTCTTCTACGCAGTCTCATTGTCTCAACGGGGGAAACTCATCTTCATTCTTAAGGTGGACTATCGGCACTGAAACCCTGAAAAAACCCCAACAAATGAATTATCCAGAGCATTAAAACATTATTATCTAACAGCATTAAACGCATATATATGTTTTTTTTCACACCTTTCTTTTTTAGTACTACTACACTGAGTCGAGGCAATAACACCCGAAGAAGCTGCAATAACTTCTTCTGCAAGATTCCCAATCGAACCAAATTCAATTCTACTCAACTTACGGCTCTTTTGATCCCCATTATTAACCGAACGAGGTGATTGGCTCATCGATTCTTGAGATCTTCTTCTTGCAGAAGGTACAACTTCATCGACCCCATTTTCGGAATTCTTTGGCTGAGACGGAGCAGTATAAGCACACGAGCCGTTAACTCGTTTATGCCTATGAAAATGATTATGATGATTGTGTGGTGGTGCCTTGTTTCTGCTCCAGCCTTGTGTAGGTCTCTCCCTGTTAAAAGCATTCTGCGTAGAGTAGATCACAGCTATATATATTACGCAGAGATAAAACACGAGACACAAATACTGAGGAGAAAAAGACTACCCTACCACATGCGGAAAGTAAGTGCCGGTTCCTTGTGATGCCCTTTGTGCAAAATTAGCTAACTGGCCCACGTTTTGCTCGATTTGAAATGGGGTTGAACTCATTTGAGAGAATTGAACCCGACAGGCTGGCATCGGTTGAGGAAGAGTATCAGATAATGGTTTTTTGTTCGAAACCCTCGAAGGCAAGAATGGCGTATGATACGCTACGGATGTAGATAAAGAAAACCCATGGCATAGTTGACCGTATAAAAGACTCCTAATATGGCTCTCGTAATCACCCCTAAGGTCAGCCAAAGGATTGAAAGCTTCCGATTCTCCACCCACGCTTTTCAAGTCCATCTCCTTAAAATCAAGGGCAATATGGTCTGTGAAATTTGACTTTGCATGCGAGTTGTCCAAACACCATTGATACGTATTGTTCGTTTCCCCGTTTTCTTCGCGGTTATCCAACCATGTATCCAAGCAGAACTTCTCATTTTCAGCAGATAATTTGGAAGAGCAGTAAAACGGTTTGTGGCTATGGTTCCAAGAACTGTTATTGCTGCTCGAAGCATATTCCGGCACGCCATTAATTAGACTGGAATTAGAAGTTGCAAGCTCAGAATGTCGGTTGCTTTCATTCTTGAATTCTAACCCTAAACTGTCGTTATCGTCACAGACGGATGATTTCAAGATGATGTCATCCTCGGAGGACAATTCAACAGGGGATGAGGAATATGCAGTCGAAGAATCTTCGTCTCCAAATTCTAACGTCAACCCTTGAGTGCCACTTCGGTAGTCACTTCCATGCCTTGCAATGGTATCTGCAAAGAACTCACTGATCTCATCAGCAATTTTGTCTTTCGGTTGTTGGAAAACTTTACCAAGCTTGCGGGCCCCGTACTTGAAAGCACTTCGTATTCGATAAAAATTGCCTACAAGGGAGCAAAGGGCCAATAAGAACACATGTCATAATACAGTAAATCTGAAATTCCAAGATAACTGAAAAATAGTTTTGTGAACTTTATTATTGAGCAAGACTATTAGTTGACTCAAATTATTCAGAGACTACAATACAGTCGCAGTTTAATCTGGTATCACCCACTAAATAGTAATTTGACGTAATAATTTAGCTCATTACAGTGCGAGAAAATCATTTCAAGAAAGAGGTTATAACCGATAGATGATATTATTATTACCTCTGTGAACACTGCGTCCTAGATTGTTATTTTCCTTCAACGGATCAATGATATTAAGATATTTTGTCTGAAATGCTTTCGGTTTTCCTTCAACCACTCTTGACGAAACTGAGAACATCTCCATGCAGTTCTCCAAAAATTCTTCACTGAGCATCAAATCTTTCCGTTCACTTTCTGGTGTCTTTACTGTAGATAAAATGAATAGGAGCAACCATTATTCAAGAACTAAAATAATACGGGTGTGGGAATATGTGACACAGTTACAATGTTGTGAATTAATTTCAGACCATTTCCATAATTGAAAACACCGTTTCTTACCCACTATATCAGGGAGTGATGATTTACAAACCGGCCCTTTCAAACTGACGCAATAGTTCTCCCAGTCAAACTGGCTGTAGTACTCCAAAAATTTGTAGAGCACCTATATAGAAACAACCTTAAAAAATTTGACTACTCCATTCATTTGCATGTAAATTCATAATTGAACGTCGAAAACCGCATAATCACAGTAGTTACCGATAATGGGCCACTTAAGGATGAATGGAAGAGATGGAATATGTAGAGGATAAGTGTTTCCAAAGCATACGTAGATATTAAACCATGGTGTGCACCAAGTACACGACTCTCATAATAACACCACGCTTTAACGAGGATAATGCTGCGTTTAAAGAGATGATTTCTCCCAACGAGGCGATCAACCTGCAAAGAAGAAGTTCGTAGGAAATCAAGTGAAAGAAATTAAGTCAATCTTCTTCAAAAATTGTTATAAATCAAGGGACTATATACCAAAATATGAATGGCATAAACACCAAAATTGGCATGCGTGTATGTATTTCAAGAATATAAAAAATGATTGCTACCTGCTCTAAGAAACAAAGTGTAGAAAGTCCACCTAATTGATTGAATGATATATCTATCACAATGTTTTGCACGAGACATTTCACGAGTTTAACCTGCCATCAGAAGAACAGACGTAATCAGATAAAAATAAACCAAACAAGATGTTTATAAATATATATCGAGAAGCAAACAAAGTCGATCACCAAACCAACCAACATTATTAAATCACTAGAAATAGTATTCTGAACAAGTGACTCCTTCAAAAAGAACCGCAAACCCAATTTCCACATAAGAGTATAATCAGCATTCCGAAATCTTAATATTCCCCAAAACAGGTTGAAAATAAGAGACAATGCATAATCCCAAAGTCACTTTTATGTTCAACATAAGAAGGTATTCCCATTAATAAAAACATAAAAAGCAAGAAACAATATGCAGGTTTGAAAGTCGAAAATATCAGCTACATAATAAATAAAAAGAGCTGCTACGAAGAATTTCGAAATATTACCTCAGCATCAATAAATTGAGGATCCTTAACTTGGAACTCAGCATTTTCATTTTTCTCTTCTCTTTGTAGAAGAGCAAAAACTTCATGAGCCAAGACTTCCTCACCTTCAAGACCTTTAACGGCAGTCAAATCAATATCTCCATCAGGTAAGTATGTCTTGAGAGGCACTGACCCATACGGGAAAACCTGCGAGACGTAAACACCAAATTAACCCTTTAAACAACCAAATACCTTAACGAATACTAGAATATCTTTTTCGTCTGGACTGCACATCTACCATGCGGTTTTCTTGATCAACATTCATCGCAGAGTGAGAATGAACTAAGAAACATCGTTTTAGAGCTACAAGAAGATTCAATCAATACATAGCACGATATATGAATTATCTATTTGGAGATGATCCCAAGCGAAAAAAACACAATCGAAGATTTTATAAACATGTAAAAGGAAATAAAATATAATGACATCAGCTACACGTATTCAGTGATCAGTTAAAAAGTTTTCAATCAGCTACCATTACACAGTGAATCAGATCAACAAAACCCGCACATACGACCTCGACACAATACATGAATTAACAATAATCAAACCCCAAAACAATCTTTGGATCGACATACAAATGCATCGGCATTGCAGCAAAAGATCAGAACCTATTTTATTCTCAATGAATATAATAACACCACCTTTTCCCACAAATCGAAAACAATCAATTAATAATTAAACCTGCAAAAAAGGCCTAAAAGCAAGATTTAAAAAAAAAATTATAAAATTATAAAAAAAGCTCAACTCATAGAAACAGGGCCACCTTCAGATTCCGACATAAAGAAGACTTTTTCTGTAAACCAAAAGTCATAGATGAATTGACTTCAGAATTACCTCACAATTAATCTGACTTTTGATTAGCCGCTGAACATAATCAATGACGTCTCTCCTCTTCTCCTCCGAGTCAAGTGTAGGGTGCACACAATTCACCACTTGCTGCGCCGCCGCCTCCGCCGCCGCCGACAAACACTCCTCGCTCAACGGCGCCGGATCAGTCACTGTACATGACTTCCACCCCAAATCCACCTCTGAAATCTCCACCCCAAGCTCACCCATCCTAATTTTTTTAGCCCTTTCTATTCGCAAAAAATTAAAAAAAAAAAAATCAAAAAAAAAATCAAACAGTAACGGAAGAAGAATCCCCAAGGGCTTTCACCACCATCTTCTTCATTACTGATTGTTTCTCGTTTTGTTTTTTGCTGTTACATAAAAAAAGGAGAGAGAATTCTACAAGGCAAAATTGAAAAAGGGGGGTTTTAAATTTGGGGTTTCGGTTCCATTGATCCCCCACTGTATTTGTGTATATACATACATGTATACATACACACACAATTAAAAAGTCGGAAAATCGGAAAAACAAAAAAAGGAGAAATTCTGAGAAGACGACAAAATTGCAATAACAATTGCGTTTTGTTTGTTTGCGTCTTCTCCAACCCTCATTTGGTTATTTGCAGAGCGGTGACGAGAAATTGAAACAAACCCTCCGTTTCTTTTCCTCGCCCTCTCTCTCTCTCTCTCTCTCTCTCTCTACTTTCTCTCTCTACAGGGTATATTATATTATATATGTATCTATATATTTGTTTTGTGTGTGTGTGGACTGGTTCGGATTTATTTTCCTTGTTTATTTAATTTTCTTATTTTTATTATTTATTATTATTTGTCAAAAAAATCTACTTTGTGGCGCGCGGCAAAGGAAGGTGACGCGACGAAAGGGAGGGAAACGGATGACACGTGTTCATCGATAAAATATTTATATTTAAATTATGGAAATTATAATTTAATTTATGGAAATTGTAATCAATTTATGGAAATTGTGTTTGGATTCTTTCACCAATCGAATTACCCTAACCTACCATGTAAATTTCAATTGACATGCGCAATGGTACTCAATATTATAAATCATGATAATATCATATATATATATATATTTAAGAAATCAAATAAATAAGATTTTTGTCCAAAAAAACGTCTGAAAACAATAAATATAACTTCTCAATTTGTACAAATTGATGTTATTCCATTTCAATTTCTGAAATATGGTGTGAGCTTATCCATACAATTATGTTTCTTCTCGAATAGGAATTCGTTTTATAATTTCTCAAATTCGTAACTGACGATTTGTTATTATCTTCCCAAATTCATTTTTTACGCCTTTCTACCTGTTGACCAATTGGGCTTAACTGATATCATATCCGTTGAAATACATCTAGTATTTTTTAATTGTTGATGTGTGTGTGTTAAGTGATCAGTACTTAAAATTCATATGATGTAAACGACATATTGTAGCATCTAACGTTCGACTAAGTCTCCCATTCCGATTAATGATACTTCTAAAAAATTTTCTTTTACTAAAATAATATTGTGACATAAATAGATTCCAATTAACACATTTGAGGATAAAGTTATTTTAATTGAAATTTCTCATAATTTACGATGGGATATTTATAGTTACAATTTTTGTGGGAAATAATGAAAGTTGTTGGAATAGTCATTTGATTTATTTTCAAAATTATTACTTATACTTACTCTAATATGTGAAGATTGATGTAATTATATTATTGATTTGAAAACTCTTTTTTGACTCACCGTACTTTCCCTTTTAATGATTGGGAATTATATTTTAAATAAAATTATTATTTTGTTCCTATCTTGAAAAGTAGTAAAACACAATTAATAATTTGGGGGAAAGACTTTTAATTTTCTTTATTATTATTTATCATTGATCCAATATTTTCATCAAATATATTTACTCTTTTGACCTGCCCCAATTTGTTTGGGAATTATTAAAAAAAACAAAGAAAGAAAGAAAATGTCTTATTTCGTGTGAATAAATTTATTGGGTAATTACGGCTATCACCTTTTTTTTTTTGATAAATATTACGGCTATCACCTTGTGAGGTAAGGTTAATACATCTTCAATTTGGATAGTTACAATCATTCTCTCAACTATTAACCTTCTTACAGTCCACTCTTATAGTGTCAAATTCAACAAAAAAATTTAAATTTCATGGAATATTCTCTAGTTTATACTCGTTTGGTGCAAAGAGTTAGTTTCAGATGCATCACAATCTGGTATTTACAAGTTAAGAGACGCATCTTATGATCATCTTGTAAAAACTGAAGAATATTCCATATAATCCAGAAGATTCCATCAAATTTGACATAGCCGGATGAACGTGTAAGAAACTTTATAGTTGATGGAGCGATTGTAATTATCCAAACAAAAGAGATTTTTGATAATTTGATCTTACTTCAGGGTGGTGGCCGTAATTTATCATAAATTTATTTAAGTTTATTTATTGATTTAAGTTGTTAATGTGAACACGAAACAAGAAAAAATAGGCACTGAACAGCTCACTGCCCGCCTTATAAGTGGCAAGTGGGTGTCACATTCTCTTATTTCTTTCCCCTTAGGTGGGGGTGGGGGTGGGGGTGGGGGCTAAAAGAAAAATAATAAAAAATAATATCCAATTTAATTATGTTGCAAAATGCCCCAAATTTCTCATGCTTTTACTTCTTCTAACCCCAACCTACTAAACTTGCCATCCACCTAAAACTTAAAATGAGAAAAGCAACATCAATTCATATCTTTGAGTAATTTATTACACTCACACACACATATATATGAGAAGATATGTTGACGAACGTCACTTTCTTGCTTCGCCTCGCAACTCGCGCATCGTGTGTTCGTTTTTCTTTTCTTCCGTTCGATCAACTAAGAAACAAAATAATATTTCTAAGTTGGTTTCTCCTTCTGGTGTCTCGAATCCATAACCAAGTAAATCATAGATGCAAATGACAGCTTACCGACACGCGACCTGAAACATATGTTTTTGTGTCAAATATATCGCTCGTTATTATCTATTCATTTCAACAATTAATTCCATTTAAATGATTGCTCTTATAAACTCACTACATGTGACTCCCAACTCATGATCAATTTCAAGTGCATTGTATTTTGGACATACCTTATCTTGCCACCAACATCTTACAAATAAAACTTCACCCCTTTCATAAATACACACTTGTATAAAGTAATAAGGTGTCACACCCACTCTAATCATATATAATTATGAATTGATTTAATTTTCCAATTCGCGTACTATAGTCTATATTTAGTGTCCATTAAATGGGATTTGCAAGATTATGACATGATAGTATACTACCTATTACTGGTCCATGTCACACTCATCTTCTTCTCTAGTGCAATGAAATGATTTATAACTTTTTTTTTTTTTTTTTTTAATTATAGAATTCCAATTCAAGCAAAGTTACCACAAGAAATGGGCCATTTTTTTTGACGTGACCCCATGAGCATGTGCTAGTGTTGAAAACACGTACATACATACATGCTCATAATTTTTATCATTGACAATATATGCTCATTGAAAAATAAATCATTAATTTTGTTCTATATTAATTAATTATATCATTAATGAATATGCCAGGTATATTCGTAAAATAATAGTGGTTCATATATATATATATATATATATATACATATATATATATATAATCATCTTTGTATGTTAGTTAGGCGCGTGAACATTTCACATGACAACAATTGTTTCTGTATTTCCACAAGTTTGCTAATTTAATGTTGTTTAATTTGATTTTTCAAAGATAGTGGCGGGGCTAAAGGGGAAAAGGATGTCAATTTTGGGATGATCATGTCACATTCATATTTCCACATTTTGGATTTACAATCAATTATTGGGATTAGATTAATTAATGAAAAATTGCACATAGTTCTGGATAAAATGTTTCTCCTCGTTTTCCAATTCCTTTATTCTACCAAAATTTACTCATAAATAATTACTCATTAATCACATATACACAGGGGTGCATTATTATGCGTCATAAAACTACATAATGTATTTCATCCGGTGAAGGTTTTATATATATATATATATATATATATATATATATATATATATATATATATATATATATATAGTAGATTATAATTTCCAACCAATAGGACAAAAATACTAATTTTCCAGAATTCAAGAACGGTTTGAAACATAAAGCAAAGGATTGAGCACTTGTAAGTTTAACGAAATCAAAGATAATATATGGATAAGGTCATGGTAGATAAAACTGCATAACGAGAAATCCCGGTAATAAAAATGTTCGAGAATAAAGGAATTAAGTGCGGGCAGCAGGGGGTGCTCCACCAACACGTGGAGGCTGGCCTGGCTTTGGTGCATCATCCTGTAAGAATGTGGAAAACGCAGCAATTAAGTACAGTGACTGAAGATACCATAATAATGAAATTAAAACACAATATTAATTTTACATAAATAACTCGGTCACACTATTTAGCTCAAGTTGTTGAAGACAAGTAAACGAGACAATAAAAGATAACAACCCAGCACATGAAACTACCACATGACTTATCTAAACAAGAGAAACCACTTTCGGTTAGTATATTTCTATACATGAAACAGAAACTGCAGAAATTTAACCTGCTTTCTACACATGATTTCGGTATTGCAGCATGAAGATGAGTAGAAAATTAATCCAGCCAGGCCTCGTTTGGTTGCAAAGATAGAATTAGCCACAATAAAATTAAATAATCTAATGAAACTCAATTGTTTTATTGGACCCCGGAAGGCCCAACAAATAACTCACTAAAAGGCATGATGATAGCATAATATTTCCAGGTCGACCCGAAAAGTTATTAGGCTTACCAAACATCAAACAAATTCAATTTAGTTAATCACGGCTAATATATCCAACCAAATGAGACCTCAGGCATAGTTAGGTTGCTAAAGCAGATTGGTTTCGACTTTCGATTATACTAGCTCCCTACTAAGTAAGTACTTGTATTTGTTCATAAGTCTGGTACTAGATGTGTTTTCTCGATACCATCTATGGCTTTAAAATAATCCAATATCGATTAGACTTTTAGGGATAAGATTGTTGTTTTCTTTTGTTCACTCATCGAGTTGAGCTCCTCCACATAAGGCAACTCATGCACAACAAGAAATACACATGAAATTGTAATAACACATCGAACTCGACAAAAAAGAAAATTCAAGAAAAAATATCAGACCGGTATAAAAAAAAAATTAGACAAGGCAGGGAAACTAACCCTTGGGCGCCTGAAACGCTGCGGGGGCTCACGGTTCCTCCTATCAGTACGAGAGCGAACCCTCACCACTTTGGAGTGAATGGCACACGAAACACAGTACTGCATCTTCACATACAGCTTAGGGAGGGTGTACGCTGTATCAAAAGGGAAAATCCTCGTATAAGATAATAACCGTAACACGACAAACTGTTCAGATCTAAAAATCACTTTTAAATACACACACACAAAAAAAAAGAGGCTTACTGTCGAAAGCACACGCTTCCTGGACATCCCTCACAGCTGCTTGCTCGACTATGTTCCTCACAAGAAACCTCTTGATTGCCTTGTCCTATTAAAATAAAATCAGCATCAACAACCATTCGAGTTTTTTAATCTATTTTAAGCAAAAGGTAAGACGATCCAATTTTATCTTAGTCCCAAATTATCAGTGGCTTAGAAAGTCATAACGAACATAAATAAGCTGTGATCGTTCGGTTCGGTTATTGACAGAGGACGAACAATAAAACCAGCTTGTACGTAACATCTGAAATACGGGTTTTCACCACTACGGCTCAAGAACCATAACACAAAGCTCATACACAACCAGCTGAAATTAATTTGACAGGGGGTCAAAGCTTTATACACTAACACCAAAAATTCAATACCAAAAGATACAATTCCTCTACACCAAGCACAAATGAAACCGAAACCCTAAAATCAATTAGGGTACAAATAATCTATCCGCGCAGAAATTACAGATTCAATAAACTTATAATACGGTAAGAAAAACAAAAAAAGTTCGAGAGAAATACAAATCGAGATTGGGAAGGAGAAGGACCTTTGGGCAACATTTTCCACAGTTGGAGCAGCGGATGAAATTGACGTGGCCGCGGCCGTGCTTGTTGCGGCCGCCGTTCCTTCTCTTGAAAGTCTGTGGATGAAAATTCAACGAAAATTAAATCAGAAAAGATAAAACAATTGATATACGGAATGAATGCGTAAATAATTGAAGAGAAATTTTCCACCATTGTTGGATTGGTTTTGCAATCTGAAAGTGGAGGCGCTCAGTTCACAGCGAGAAACGATCTAGGGTTTTAATCTCGAGTGTGCAGTGACGATTATATAACGTAATTGACATTCTGCACCTTTAATTATAACAGCTTTGCACATTGCACCTTCAAAATATTGAAATATCACTTTGCACCCAAACAAATAGATAAATTCGTATTATACCCTTGTTTGGGGTCCAAACATAGATTCCCGGTTCTACATAGGGATGGACTTTTCAAATTTTGTCGATTTAAATTTGGGATTTTTTATTAGTATTTTATTTTGAAGTTATTATTTTTATTCTAATTTCTGAATTTTTAAATACTAATTCTGGAAAAATAGAAGCATATATATCTCTTAAAGGCAGAGAACCATCATCTAGTATCCGGAAGGAGAGACTCTCATTTACCTTGCGTTCCATGATTGTATTTATACCTGTCATAGGGATGAGTCTGGTGGGACCCTCGCCTTATCAAACTATGATGTACGTGCAGAGTGATGTCACTTGCAGTGATTTCCTTTTACGGCTTTTACCTACTGAAGACGGATAGCTTCAACCCACTTTACTGCAATTTGGGTAGCTTCTTGGTTGCTCTTAATTGCCTTAAGCAAGCTCGTTGTTTATTGGTGGGGCTCCTTTGGGTGCACGTCATGGTGCGTGCTTTCCATCTACTTCTCTGACGTTGGGCCGAATGTGGTAACGTCCCCGCTTACACTTGTCATATGTGAGGCTAGTTGGTAGACTTTAACAGTTTGTAGTGGATGAGACGGTCTTGGGTTTGGGCCGCCTTTGGGCTTTATATAGGGCTTTCTTTCAAAATAGGTTTGGAAAATTAGGCCCATATCAACAAGATCGAAATTTGAATTAGTTTCTCCCTCCATTCGAATCGTATAATTTTTTTCATGTACAAAAAAACGTAGATTTTTTTTTATTATGGTCAGATCTGATCATGTCGAAAAAGAGGCCTTTAGTTAGGTGCGATGATAATATTGGTTCATGGTTCATATAACCACGTAATAATCAATCTTGATGAAATATAATAATAATAGTTTCTAGCTCTTTATAATATAGGGTCACTATTCCGTGTTCAGGCCAATTGAATCCTTTATTTTGAATGTCACATTTTTGCTTCAACGTATGCATATTGGGACACATAACACCATCAAAATTTCAACCACCTAGCCATTGATCATTTAATTATAGAGATGGAAATCGGAATGAAATATCCAATTTCAGCCAATTTCGATACGGAAACTTTCGAATTTGGAACGTGTATATGTTTCTCATTCCGATTTTCGATTGTTACCTTATCTCGTTTTTCTTCTTCTTGTTTTTCCTTTGAGGTGTACTTGTATGAAATACCATATTCATAAATATCGTACCCTAGCCATTGCTGTCATAAAATAGAGGCCAAAAGTTAGCCGAATCGCCGCTACCTTATAGCCGATTTTCCGTCACGAGAAACCACTAGAGTCACCGTATACTGTCAACCAACAACATTTCGGAAGTTCCGAAATTCCATTATATCTATAGTTTCTAAATCGGAATCAATTTTTGTATTCCGATTCAGAAATTTCAGAATTAGAACCCACTTTTTTTTTCCCTTTCGAGAAAAATCGGCATTTTTTCGAAACAGTGAATTCCGATTCGATCCGTCCGATTTTTCAGATGTTATTTATCAAAGTACAACAACTACAATTGATGACTAAATAGTGAAATCATTTACAACAAATCACTTTATGATCATTTCATAGAAATTCCGGATCCAAATTGAACTAATTTCATACAAACAAATTAAAATACAAAGACTGAAATAATACAAAATAAATGAATAAAATTATGTAGCTAGGCCAAAGCTTCCCATATAGTTGTACCGTCACAAGCGCAAAGCTTTGTGCAGTTGTTATTAATTCCTCCCTCGTCGCTTCTACCGACCACCGCAGCTGCAATACCTTCACCTGAAGAATTTTTACCTTCGGTTGCATATAAAACAATCGATCGTCCAATTAGATCATCAACTCTCAGCGTCGTCTCTTTCGTCCCAGAAATAAATACCGACTCGTTTTTCTCATCAACTTTTAACCTTCCCAACTCACCGAGTGGCTGATGATCGATCAATTCAACATTTTATTTTTATTACAAGGCGCATCCAAAACTTGAATAGATACAGATACTGATACAGATATAGATATATATACCTGGTGTACGTTGTTGGTGGGATTGAATACATTACCGGTGGTGGCAGCACCTTGCGTTAAATCACCGAATTCATTGATCGACCAATTATAATTATATTTATTATTTCCAGGTGGCGAACGACTAAAGTTAGCTTCTATCTTAGTCACTTCCGTGCTCACTTGAGCTAAATGGACGACGCCGAATATTGTCGGACCTTTAAATTCAGCGACCGCACTCGACACCACGAATTCTGCACAATCTAACTCCTTTGTTAAAAAAACGGAAAACGGTAACACCGTAAAAGTAACCAAAATTTACGCATGTGGAATATAACTAATTAATTACCAGCTGATTTTGGCCTAATTGGACTGAAAAGATTAATTGATCCCATATGTATATATTTGTCCTGCAGCAAAACATACATTAAATATTAATCTCATAATTAATTAAGAAACACTAACCATAAATCATGTGACTTATTAATAATTAGTCAGAAGCAAAACAAAGAGTAATATTAATATTAAAAAAAAAAACAGATAATATAATGAACAAGAATTTAAAAAATTGCTCACCTGGTGAAATCAAATCGAACTTAGAGATCGATTGATAATACGACAAATTTAATAGAGAGAGATGAATAACAAAAGAGAGATTGAGGAAGATAGATATTAAGGAGGGAGAATTGGGATTTTTAAAGGTTCAAATTTGATGATTCATGGAAGAAGTATGTAAGAGATGTACTTCTGTACTATGGGAAACAAAACAAGAGAATTATATAGTACGTACGTACGATAAATTACAACACTCTTTATGTAAAGTTAAATTATGAAAAGATTCTTCTTGTTTTGTTAATTACAATTGCCCCTCAAACTATGGATTTTCTTACATGTCCACACCCTTATGATCTAAAATTCAACATAATCTTCTAGATTTTGTGAAAAAATTGTTCTCTAGCTAGTTTGTACTCGTTTTGTTCAAAAATGCAGTTTCTGATGCACCATAATCTGATATTTACAAGCCAACAGAATATGGAACTCAAATGGGTTGAAACGGATACAAATTGAAGAATTTTCACTAAATTTGATACCACAAGAGTGGAAGTTAAATTATTATTATAATTATCCAAATATGAAGATTTGCTTTTATAAATTATATTATAGAATTCCAATTAAATAAGTTGCCACAAGAAATGGGCCATTTTTTTTATGTGACCCCATGAACATGTACTAGTGTTGAAAACACGTACATTCATGCTCATAATTTTTATCATTGACAATATATACTCATTGCAAAATAAATTATATATTAATGCATATGCCAAGTATATTCGTAAAATAATAGTGGACTCATTAATGATTTGAAAACATATATTCATTATTTTACGCATATACCTCGCATATTCATTAACGATTTGGAAATATATGTATATATATATTTCCAAAAAATTGTTTGGTAGAATTGATGATGGACGGTTGAAATTATAAGTTGTAAATAAAATATGATAATATCGTACAAATGAAATTTCTTGTACTATCAACCTTGTACTATATTGTACTAGGGTTACTTAATTATCAGATCTTAAAATTTCAAATAAGCTAAAAAGAAAGAGAAGATCATTTAGAGAAGCAAACTTCAAATTAAATAATTAAATAATTAATTAATTAGAGATGGATTTGACGAAAAATCTGACGCTGCCGGAACTCCCGTACGGATACGAGGCGCTGGAGCCGGCGATAAGCGGGGAGATCATGCGGCTGCACCACCAGAAGCACCACCAGGCTTACGTCACCAATTTCAACAAGGCCCTCCACCAGCTCTCCGCCGCCGTCGCTGATGGTGACACTTCCGCTGTTGTCATGTTGCAGAGCTCACTCAAGTTCAACGGCGGAGGTATTTTTATAAATACTATATCTATATATTATATATATGAAAATCGGATGCCATAGAATGATTGACAGGTGGATAATTTAAATAAAAATATAATTATGATTCTAATAATTGGAAAAGAAAAAGAAAAAAAAAACCATCAGAACCGTAACCGCTCTAACCCTAATTATAATTAGCGTGATTTATTACCCTCTAACCCTAATTATAATTAGCGTGATTTATTAACCGCTCTAACCCTTAACCCTAATTATAATTAGCGTGATTTATTACCCTCTAACCCTAATTATAATTAGCGTGATTTATTAAGAGTTAAAACTTAAAAGTGTCACGTGTTAAAAAATTAGTGGAATCCAATTTATAATAAATATTGGCTGATCCGCTCAGAATTTAATCTCTTTATATATATATATTTTTTTTAGGATACGTAAAATAGAACAAAAGGCATCCGATTCTTTTAGTAGGAGTAAAAAGTTGAACGGATCTAAACTGAAATTATTAGATACTTAAAAGATGTATAATTAAAAAAAAAATTAAATTAGTTAATTATATAAATAAATAAATAAATAAAATTACATTTAGTGTTGTTGAAATTTGAATTTTTTTTTCTAATTTTTAGAATTAAAGTTACGAAAATTCATCTAAATGTGAAATATGTTTGGATTAATATACTAACTTTGGTCGATATTTTGACCTAAGTACATTTACATCACTGGAAAAAGCGATAGATTTTAGCTCTTACAAAAATTATCTCACTCTCAAGTATATTACTCCAAATACGATAAATTAATTTCGTTGATGATTAATATTTAATAATGTATTATGATAAAATAATATCATCGGGAACTTACCAAAAAATGGTTCCCAAAAGAAAAAGAAAATAAGAAGTGCAATTAGATATTAATATTTGAAGTGTAACTACAACAACCCCTGATATTAGGTATAATTATAAAAAAAATCTCTATTATTTGCATAATTACAACTATCCTCCTCAACTATAGATTATCTTACACGTCCCCTTATAATGTCAAATCTACCTAGGTTGTCCATCCGGTTGGTAAACCTATCGAATCGAGCCGAACAAAAATTTGTACATGCCGATTACGTAACCGTTAATTCGGTGTGGTATTCAGTTTTATTTTATTTTTTATATATATGTATATATGTATATATCTATAAATGTAATATTAGTATTTAAACTAAAATTAATTTTAAAAAAAATTAAAAAATCAAAATTTTTAAATAATTTTAATAAAAATTTGGTAATTCGGTTATTTATCGAACCAAACGCTAAACTGTATGAAATTTTAGCTAGCAATTTCTGTACAATTTTACCGAATGAAGACCCTTGAATTTATCAATTTGAGGGATTTTTTCATAAGATAATACATAAAGAGTGGCGCTTGTAATTATGCAAACAAAACGGGTTTTTTTTACGTAATTTGACCTTACCTCATATGGTGGTCGTAAGTTGCCTATTTTTTTAATAAATGTCCTACATTATATTTTATTAAAAGTCGTCCTGCGTTTATCAAATTCCTTCTAAATTTTTTTTAAATAAATGATGGACTGACTAGGCTTCTTATTGTTTGATTCTTTGTTAGGGCACATAAACCACTCGATTTTCTGGAAGAATCTGGCTCCTGTTTCTGTGAGTGTGAATCTTATTTCATTTCTACCATTGTTTTTTTATTTCACCCAAACTATTTATATATTACTATATATACTAAAGTTGTGTATATGCATGCATGCATGCATGTATGTATGTGTATTAGTGTATATCAGTACTATATGTATAGATATATATTCATAATATATAATTAATTAATGATATGCAGGAAGGAGGAGGGGTGCCCCCAAAGGGTCGTTTAGGCAGCGCCATTGATGAACAGTTTGGTTCTTTAGAAGCTTTGATCCAAAAGATGAACACACATGGAGCTGCCTTACAGGGCTCTGGATGGGTGGTAATATATATATATATATATATATGCACACACACTTTCTCATGCTTATTAACATATAGGTTTGGTAGGCTAAAAAAATGTGTGATTTAAATATTTTTTTTGTTTTTAGTGGCTGGCATTGGATAAAGAATCGAAGAGGATTTCGGTTGAAACAACTGCGAATCAGGTCCGTACGTCTAATTTCATATCCACACGTGTATTTTTGGATTAATTAATTAATTATATAGTAGCTGCAGTTTGGAAATCATGCATGCATGAAGTTATATATACATATAATTCTTGATCCAGGATCCAATTGTGACGAAAGGGCCGACATTAGTTGCGTTGCTCAGTATAGACGTGTGGGAGCATGCATACTACTTGCAGGTAAATTTATTACTTCTCGAATTTCCTTTTGTTTCGTTTTATTTTTTTTAATTTCGTTAATTCGCGACGGAATTCTTGGTTTGTGTGCCATATGCAGTATAAAAATGTGAGACCAGACTATCTGAAAAACATATGGAACGTCATGAATTGGAACTATGCAAGTGCAGTTTATGACAAAGAGTGTCCTAATTGAGTTGCTGCCTCGAAAATAAAATATTTCAGTATTTTATTTTTTAATTGAATAAAAAGATTGTGGATGAAAAGTTGGTTATATATACTTTTCATCAATGAAATAAATGAGGATGATTTATGTGTATTGTGATTGTTTGAGCTTCTTCTATGGATACAATATCACTTGTTGATTATTCTTGCAAATTTTCTTATTCAATTGAAGTGATTTTTGTCACAGTTAAATGGTTCGTAACCTCTCGTATTCAGGCAGTGGCGAGTTCAAGAATTTGTTTAATGGTGGATTTAATTTTTCGGATGTTTGGGGACAGAGTTGACGAAGAAAATTTTAACTTTCTTTTTTTACATAAAATAGGACAAAATCAGAAAATAGGAAAATAATAATTTAAAAAAAGAACAGGAAAATAGCAGGACTTTTTCTGCATAGAGTAGGACAAAATTAAAAATAGAAATTAAAATAAAAGAAATTCTTCTAGGATTTCTATTTCATTAATTTAGATTTTAGGTGGATAAAATAATAAAAATTGAGTTGATTACATAAAAATAAAAATATAATATAATGAAAAAAAATGTAATTGAGGGTGTGCTTGAGTCCACCCGAGCCGTATGGATACAGGGGTGGAGATCGAACAAATCATATCGTAATTAGCATTTTCGAAGAAAGAAAAAAACCCAATTTTTCGGCGGTGTAAAACTAATTTCAGTTACGTTCCAAAAAAATCGATTTTTTTTATAGAAATTTGAATATTTTTCATTATTTCTTTCCATTCTTTATTTTATAAAAATGGATTTATAAAGATCATTAAGTAATATGCATTAATATCTCAATGTTCACTCTTTCTACCAAAATCTCCTAGCAAAGTATCGGCACAAGTTCATCAATAATGTGAAATTCCAGTTTAAGTAATTATATGGCAAAGTTAATTAAAAACATATTTCCATTTTGTTACATAATAAATGCATAAATAAGGGCCACTTGTCTCAAATTTGGAATTATAAGTCATTTTCTGATTTATTTTTGTTCTGTGAAATTTCATTGAAGCTCAAGATGAAGTATTCTAATCATTTGGCTATTATTACTGTCTTCATGTTAATGCAGCTTCTGCTTATCACTGTCTCTTCTCAATCAAGTAATTAATCGCTTTAATTCTTTTTTTATTTAAATTATATTATTGACTTGTTTGCGTTTCGTTGACTCCGTCTGTATATGTATTTACACGACGTGTGTGCAGATATCCGAGAGGGTGTAAAGGTGGATGGGAGGATGATATATTATAAGAGCAAGACGTTTCGTGGAGATTGCTCCGACAATGAAAAATGCCGACTAACTTGTCGGAGGGACGGATTTATAAGCGGAACTTGTAAACACAATTCTCATCCTGGATGTTATTGCTGCAAAATACGAAAAATTTAATAATTTTTCGTAAAAGTTAACTCCTTAATAAAATTGCAAGAATTACATTTTAATTCCGTTTATATTTATCGACCATTTTACACATATAAATACGTGTAGAATTGGTGGTTGAGCCAACATACGGAAGATTGAATTTTATTGAACCTGCATATTCGTATCAAAGTTGCAACATTTGCTTCGCAACACCGCCATTATCGAAGATTTAACAATTCTATTGGCACACTCGAGCGTATACAAAACTTTTGCATCCAAAAAGAAATATACCATTTAGCTCTACTACTAAGTAATAAAAAGTTCGAACCTATTGAAACGCAGATATCGTTTAGCTCTCTACTAGTATCAATAAAAGATCAATCTATCGAAACACATGGCTCTCTACTAGTATTAATAATAAACGATTGAATCTGTTGAAACAGAGAAACTCATAATCGGTTATCCCTCGCAGCGAAATCTTCATCGCTGAAAAAGTTCGATTCCCAGATAAATGAGATAAAAGCGTGGAAGAAATTTTATGCCTGCAAATCCTTGTTTGAATTCCACCCTGGAGCTCTTGCAGCACCACCTTCATTTAAAATGCCGCCTCCATTTTCAACACTTAATAGAGGATCGGATTCGCTTTCCTTCGCCTGCATGTACATATACATATAGAATTAGCAAATCAATTTTCAATAATGTGATGAATTTGCCTCAAGAAAAAGAACAAGATTAAGCACCTGAGATAATTGTGCTGCTTCAGCAGTGGCTTTTTGTTGGGTCTCGAGAGTGCAACAATACGAGTAGAGTACCATACCTACTATAGCAATCAAGATTCCTAAAATATTCCGCCAGCTAAACGGGTCCCGCAGAAGAACGTAACCGAATGCTAAGACAAGGCATGTTTTTAGATGACCTAGGACCTGATAAGTTACCGGAGATGTCTTTCCAATTACAAGAAAGGTACTGAAGTTCACGGAAACTGATATTAAGCAGGATAGCACGATGAACGCCTGTTAAGAAAAGTAAAAATAATTAAATACATAAATAAGCAAAAAATACACACAAAGAGGCAGTATACTCACCAGTACTTGAGGAGTGTAATTGAAAGCAAATACATTCTTGTTGGTAAGAAGTCCATCCACAAACGGTCCAGTTACGAACAGAGTGATTGCCTGATAGGGGCAAGATTGGTACAGAAGTTGGGTTGAAGAAACCTTGAACTTTTTCTGGATGGTATTCGTCATCTGATGGTATTTGAAGTTAAGATCCCAAAATTACTAAGAGTGCAATACGAAATCAAACTATTGAATCTTCAACCAGCCAAACGGGAAATGGTTTTTCGACACGAAAATTGCTAAGACGAGGACACATGAGAATAAAACTGATGGAAATTTACGTAAGCAAAATCAAAAAAGCCTTTTTATCCCATATATTAGAGAAAATATCGAAACAAACTACTCAAAAACTTTAATAAGATTTTCCTTTTCTTTTAGAAAATAGCTTTCTTTCGTGTGGAAGCTTGCTTCTTTCATGGGGGAATAGAGAGGGAAGATAAAATAAGTAGACAATGAAAAAGATGAGGATACAATTTGCGCGACACAAGTAGTAGCAACTGCAAGCAGAGACAAGACGGATCCCAAGACATTGAGCTGCAGATCAGTCACTGTTGCAATTCCGACACCCATGAGAAGAACAATGAGTGATCCTTGGACATTCCGACTGCAGAATGGTTGTGAAGAAGGTATTAGCAGCCAATTTGGGGTATTAGCAGCCAATATGAAATACAGAAACATCTATCGTTGTTAAAAAGGAAATATAGAGCGTATTTAAATCAAACTAAAAGAATATATAACAAAAAAGAAAATGTCACAAACTTAAATAACAATTATAGGCCTAATGGACAATGACAATATGAAAATATTACAGTTCACATTAAGTTTTTTTACTTTATTGAGTAAGCAAAAATAGTATAGCAACTCTTAGCTCAGTTTATATTAAGCTCATATATGCTCTACTGCAGTGGTTTCAGAAGTTGCAGATCGGAACGACTCCATTCAAGAAGAAGATTTTCAAAATCTATTAATAATACGGTGAAAGTACAGCCTGGTACTTCCCAGATAGGTTGGCACACATGTCAAAAAAACTAGCATGATGCACATCTACACGAATTAAGTATAAGTAAAATGTATAATATATTAATGACCAATATTTAGTATAGTGGAACAGATAAGCATGCCTCTCTATACGAAAATTAGAATGAACTGCGAGGTAATGAATTGGCAGTAAAACTGGGGGTTCAGTATCCTCATGCAGACCACATTACGCAGACGAGAATGCGAAATTGACCTGAATATTTTTCTGAAGAACAGAGTCTCTAAAAGGACAGTGCATGGGATAATTGCCAATTTTGTCATCTGAAATGAATAAACCATAAGTAAATAAGCATTTGGAAACTGAAACACTTGTGAAACCACAATAAAATAGGAACGATAATGTTGCAGTAATGAAATAGACGAGAGAGTAACTTTAAAATGATTGAATCAAAAATGAAACAGAAAGGCAATAAAGATTCACCTGATAGAAACCGACAGAGTTGAAACCCAGACTAAGATTTAGAAGTCCAATCGATGTTCCATTCAGAATACCGAACCCCATGACAGCTCTTGGATCAAAAGGTTTGTGCTCAAACCATTTCATACATAGAGCAATATGAAGGAAACAAAACGTGACAAGAAGATGCCAGCTAGTAAGAGTTGTAGCTGAGAAATCAAAATGTCAGGAAACGAGTGAGAGGAAAAGTTAATGTCTTCAATAATATAAAAGTTCTAGTAAAACTAGCAGGCTAATATGGAGAATATGAAACTTTCATGCTGGAGGAAAATATGGAGAATTTATATATTCACCATTCACCTTTTGATGGCTTGCAATAAATTGTTCAGTTTCGTTTTACGATTCATGAAAGCATCAAGTTTGAAGAAAAATGTAATTTTCCGCAAAATGTAATTTTCCGCAAAGTAGATTGGAGAATTGCATTCCTTGAGAAATAGAAAAGAAAAGCTGCCAAACTATTTCTCTGGACAGTAAATAAGTTGGACAATCAACTTTTATCAAAATTTTCATATTTCCACAAGCACCATGCCGTTCTTTACGTCTTTGTAAAAAATATTATCATTTTGGTATTCACGCAACTCCCTACTCGAATCAACCAAAAAAAGAAAACGTAAAACTTAAATCCCGAAACTTTGAAATGTCAATAAACCACCCCTATTAACTTCCGAATCATTTTTCAGAAACCGAAGATCTAACATTCGATAATTCTGCCAACTAAAATAAAGTTTAACACAATAATCACCAAAACCAGTTGCACTACATAGTTTTCGCACAAATGGATGAATCAAGTCCACGAGATTCTCACCGAAACTGAAGCCGAGAGTGCTAATGAGCGCCTTGTTGCAAATCACAATCGACACCGACGAAACCACCGAAAGACTCAAAGCTCCAATGGTCCCCAGCTGGTACGGCTTGCCCTCACTCATCTCTCTGATCCAATTTCTCAATATCTACACTCATCAAAAAATACACAAAAGCTTTCCAAACAAATTAATACCTCCTCCCGAACTAACAAACAGCCAATAAATTAAATCAACGTCCATTTTTTTTTTTTACCTCATTCCCAGTCTATAATCAAGTAGCCCAATTTCAGCTGCAAATCACCAAAAATCCAGCTCCGCTGCAGATAATAACGGATCAATATTCCAAAACAATATCAAACATCACTTAAAAAACAAAAAAAAATTAAAACCCTAGATCTGCTGTATTTCACCAACAATCAAACCGAAATAAACATTATGTATAATTATGCTTATCATAAACAATTATAAATACATACATATATATACACACACACGTTTTAGTGTGTGTAATATGCACAAAGAGAAGAACAGTAGGAGAGAGTGTACCAGAGGAGAGACTTTCAGATCACTGAAATCGATGTCGGTGATTAATTTAAAAAAAAAAAGTAATTGAAAATCTGATCAATGGTTTCTTCAAAGAGATTGTGACGTAAATAGAACGTGAATGAGGAGAATAAATGGAAAAATAAATTATATGATTAATTAAGTTAATAATAAAATAATGGTAAGAGTAGTGACATAACACTAACTCTTAATTAATTAAGTAATTAATGATGGTGAATTAAGATTTGAGATTAATTGAATGGAGGGGATTTGGTTTGACTTTGTTGGTGAGCCGGCTAAGCATGTGGGTTGGCGTTGGGTGGGGTGACCGGCTTGCTGCTGAGGGGTACTATTTTAGTTATTTCGCCTTTTTAATAGTGAATAAACCTTTTATTGGTGGAAATCGGAACACTGTATCTGAATTCTGTCGATTTCGATCTAATTTGTTTTTTACTTTTTTCTTTCATTGAACAATATTCTTTGTTTCGAGTACATGAAATTCCGATTTTTTTTTTTAATTTTTTTTCGATTTTTTATTTTGATTAAAATTGAAATATATACGGAATTTCGATTTTCAGTCTGATTTTAATATATGAACATTCCGAGTATTTCTTAAAAATTATATTAATAATATCAATATTATTATATGATCTATATCGCACGTGACTAGGGGTGCAAGTTATTGGAACGGAAATTCCAATTTCCGCCGGTTCCGATCCGAAAAGTTCCGAATTTGGAACAACTTTTTTCATTCCGATTTCCGAAATTCCGGTTTCCGAATTTTTCCGATTTTTTTGGATTGGAATTGGAATAATATAAAAAAGAATTGGAATTTTCGATTTCCGAAAGTAATTCCGAAAAATTCTGATTTTTTCCCGAAAAAATCCATATCTATAAATATATATATATATATATATATATATATATATATATATATATATATAATACTTATTTTACATAATTCAAAATAAACTAAGGGTTTAATTGTATTTATGTTTTATGGGCATGTCAAAGACTTTTTATGCTAAATGTCACCTTAAACCCTAGTTTCTTTTACATCAGGTTTAAGTTTTGTTTTAGAATTTTGACATATTGAATTGTTGCTAGAATTTTTTTATTTTGGATATTATAATGTGGTTTATTTTTATTTATTTTTTGTACTGAAATTTAGTAGTTATTAGTTTTACATCTATCGACGTAAATGTTCTTATTTTTGGAAAATTACGAATTTTTCAGAAAATTTCCACTAAGTTTTGAAATTTTAAAACTTATGTGATTTCCGAAAAATTTCCGAAATTCCGAAATTTCCGGGCCTTTTGGAATTGGAATGAATTTTTAGATTCCGAAAATTTTGGAATTGGAATTGGAACTGATTTTGTACTTCCGAATTTTTTTGGAAATTTTCCGAAAAGGCTAATTCCGATCCGATCCATCCGACTTTCACCCCTACACGTGACTACAAAATAAAATTAAAAAAAAATTGAATTTCACTGATTTCATCGAAATCGACGACATTGAACCAATTTATTTTTCCAATTTCTATTTTTTCTATTAGTTAAGCGAAATACTTTGTTAGCATATTGTCCTCGAGTCGGAATCCATAGAAATATTATTTAAATGAGATTATTAATTTATTGAGTATTAATTTGATTTATCGATGTTCTACGGTAGTAAAAATACAGATTCACTCCAATTCAGGTTAGGCATAACTCAGAGATATCAGTTGCCCTATGCAATTCAAACGTAAACTTTCCTAGAGCAAAATATCGATACGAATCCTTGAAACTCTTTGAAATTCTCAACTTAAAACAATATTTATAGACATTATTGGCTTTTTTCTTTAATAAATGAATCTCTTATCTAAATGTTGGTAGATCATTAATTTATCATGATTTTTATTTTTATTCTATCTGAATTTATCATGAATTGGTCAAAGAAACAAGTTTACATGGGCTTGGAGCCCACTATTGTATGTGGTTCACTAACGAAGTTTTATTTGGGCCTTTTCATATAAGACCCAAATATTCTATTATTTTCATTATAAACTTTATCAAAGAAAAAAAAAATAATAAAAAAAAAATTAATGATTTCATTGTACTAGGAAAGTAGTTATATTTGATTGGTTAACCAGAATTTGTTATTTTCTTAAGTGTAATTATTATAGTAGAATAGGGAATGCAATGCATACATGAAACTAGGAGAAAGTGTATACATATCCATTTTTAATTTATAAATAAATAAAAACACATTCATATAATTATTAAATATATGAGTGAATGGATAATAAATATATTACAAAATACCAAATCAAAGATGTTAATTAATCTCTTCAATATTATTAATCCGGTAAATATATAAGGCCAAGCGGCCGGTGTAAGCAGCCATTAGCCACCACTTCAACACTTTCTATAACCCTAACAAATTACTTACCATGCCCAAAAAACTTAGCATGCATGCATACATACATACATAAATACATACATACATATACGTACATACGTACATTCGTACATTTTAAGAGAAATGGTATGTATTTTTGTTTAATTAAACAATTTCATTCGTCTCGAATCTTTTTAATTCAAAGTATGTATAAATATGATCTTTTAGAATTGACCCCCCTCGTAGGTTTGACCGAACTGCCAATTAGAGGGCGCCACGTCATAGCTAGTGATGGTTCTACCGTCACTGGCGGTGACCTGAAAGGAGAGGCTTTGACCGTTGAGGTACGAATTGCTCTGCCAATTTTGGCCCCAATTCCTCGACATCGGTTGCCAGCCGGTTTTGGACCCTTTGATCGAGAGTGCATGGATATCTCCTGCGCCTCCGACGTTGGTGATCAAAACCAAGTTGAAGTACGAGTGGCCGTTGATCGTGAACCTAATCCCACCTTTCTTCATACATGGCACCCTACAATATTTAAATTATCTTTGAGAGGTTTTATCTCTTTAATTAATATTTAAATTAAAGTCAATATATGGAATACAAAATTTCCGAACCTTCGAAAAGCAACGGGCACGATGCCGGCCCGGTATTGAGCGATTTGAAGGAAAGCGGGCTCGGCCATGTCGAAATGCTGGAGGGGAGGATTGCACCACCCACCGTTGTCGTTAGGCAGAGCAAAGTTTGGTGGGCAGAAATTGGTGGCGGTGATGGTGATGGTTCCGGAAAGGCACCACTTGGGGTCGTTTTCGCACCGCATTTCGTAGCACGCTCCGCACGTTAGCCCGTTGTTGAATAGGGCCGTGCTGAGCGCTGCCGTGTTGGTCGCGTACCCTTGGCTGTACAAATTCCCGTACCCACATGCTCCTCCTATATACATTGGAATATTTAATTTTTTTTTATCAATTACATATAAAATATAACATTGGAATATATGATTTAAATTAGTTAATTGAATATTATTGTAACAAAAATTTGGTAGCGACTCGATTTTGGACAAATTTTACGTACCCATCGTCCCCGAAGCATCGCCACCGCCGTAAAACGTGGCGTGACCGTTTTCCCATCCTCCGTAATCAGCCTCAACACTATGAAACCGGAGTAAATTCAGAATGAAGAAAGAAAAAGTGGCAAGAGAAAGTGATTTAGCAACCATAATTAAAGCTTAATTAATTAAAAATTTTGAAGGTTTTAAGGTTTTGAGTGAGAGGATTAAGGAGTTGAGGCAATGGAAATGGTGTATATATAATGGAAAGATATATGAGGCAATAATTAATCAATGGAGGAAGAAGATAGCTATGGAGAAAATTAAAGATGCAGACAAAAATAATCCCACGAGGGAAAAATATAATCTTGTAATTAAATCTTAATTAGATGTCAAATAATTAATAATAATAACAAAAGGCACATGGGATTGATTCTGGTTGGGGTGGCAAGCACACCTTGTGTAGTTTAACGTTGTAGGTCCTTCTTCCACGTGCATGCATGCAAATTGCCAACTCCATATATACGTAATTAATCATGTCTATATAACCTGTCACTCAACCACCCAACTTGAATTAAGTGATTTAATTTAATTGAAAAGACGTAGGTAATTAATTAATGCTTCTCTTAATTTATTTATTTTTCTTAATTAATGCTTTCTCTTAAAAGAGATTGTATAATTAATAAATAACCCTAGACAAGAGAGAAGTTATGTTCAATTCTTTTGTTGGGTGTTGGGGGTCACAAATTATGCCCTACTTCACATAAAATTCTCCTATATGCCTAATACTTGTCGAGTTCACCCCATAACCATGGTTCCAATGATGCATTAATCGCATTTTTTTTGCCGAACAAATCTCTTTGATAGATCGATATAAATAACCATCCGCTAAGCACACGCACACGTGGGATGTATTTCTCGGGTGTAGCATCTGCAAAACCTGTTCATACATATATACATACATGCACCGAACGAAACTCTCTCACACCAAGTTGTTGGATTCGGACACACCATAGGTTGGACCACGTTAGGAGTTCTGAGTTTACTAGCTAGTTCATCCTCTAAAGCCATAAACCTTTAAATTCATTCATACAAGACGCTATATTTATTGAGGTAACATCATCAATGCACTCATGTCAACTCAAGATACAAACAATGTACCGACTTAATTCGTAAGTTCGTATAATGTATCGTCAAGTCAAGTTGTAGACTAGTGGACACGTGTAAAGAAAACTAATAAATACGAATGAATTTTAGAAAAATAAAATATGAAGTGACTAAAATACCCTTGTGTGCCAAAATACTCGGGTCGAAAATCCAGCTACCTACTTTAGGTAACTACAGTACCTTTCTCCAGAGAACAAAAAATCTATAGAGAGAGAAACTACATGTAAGAGATCTCCAATAATGACCCCAGTTTCGAGTACATATTGAATATAAAGCCGTACTTAAATCCAATGAGACATTATAAATTTATCTCATTCTTCAGCAAAGGCTCGGATAGAATTCGGACGAGTTCTTGAAACCTGCAAGGTCATTAATGACATGCGTAGATGCCACCTGTGCATCTGCATCTTGCCAGTTTGTGTTGCAACCCCACACACGGATTGCAAGCCTTCGACACTTGGGAGAAGGTTGCCTCAAGTAGGTGCGATACCACTCGATAATATCTTCCTTTTTAATATCTTTAAGTTCCTCAGCTTCCTTCTCCGACATGTCAAACATATACCTGAAAACAAGGTTAAACAAATTTAATATAAAAAGTAATATTCAAAATCCATAACCCGTAATTTTATGAGATACGTAGAGGTTCATGATTTTACTGTAGTAGATGCAACTATTTCCCACCGTCTTGTAACACATTCAAAAAGCTGCCATTCTTATACCTAATAGGAAAAGCAAATTACCTTTTGTCGACTATTTGACCCCAGAAACGGTTTGTTTCATACGAAAGAGACGGATCTTTCTCGAGAAGCTTCCCTAATAAACCATTTTTATAATTCTCAAACGATTCATGGTCAAGCCCGTTCTGCACATCAACAGAGTTTCAATAGTAAGAAAAACACAATGTATAAAATCTAAAATTTGGGATGTGATTCCGAAAGGAAAAAAAAAGGATAAACATTATGTGCATGAACACAATAACAGAAATAAGTCGCATTGTAATATTATTCCATATTCCTTTTTCTTTTTTTTTTTTTTTTTTTTTGAGAGAGATCTACATGCCTAGTTTTTCTCTTCAAACTACAACTAATGGTTAAGATCAATAATGTATAAACTCTAAAGCATATAGGGCTGACCAGTCACCACGTAAAAAAGAAGCTAACAATTTTCTTACCAAACAGCTCATCAACTTTATTGAAAAAAGTATGCTCCCATACTTACCAACATCTCTTCTAATCCATTTATGAAGTTCTCAATCCTCCCTTGTAAGTAGACAGGATTATATTCAGAAGATTGAACACGGAAACAAAATCCTATTATCCGGTATGTTACTCGTGGGCTACAATCAACAACATAACCAAGCTGTTCCTTTGTCCTGTTTCAGATAACAATAAATCATAAATTAATTATTATGAAACCTCAGGCAGCTGAGTGTGCAAGTATGCAGTTATATCGGTTAAAGTTTGGGGTAAGCGCTTTATGTTTTGACGCACAAATGAACGCTTAAATGTCCGCATGCAAGGGGAGGAGTGGTAGTGGGTGAAGGGTAGAAAATTATGATTTTATTATTTTTTTAATATGTGTGTCTTCAACCAAATCTTAACATACCTGAGTTGATTAAAAAGTGGTTCTTCGACTATTTCATCGAAAAGGTCTGTTAGTGCCTTTAATTTTATCAACTCCGTTCCTTCTTCTGGTTCAATCTGAAAGTAAAGCTGCGACACAAAACCAAAATAAAAGAAAATAAAAACATAAGTAAATATCCAGCAAAAGGAAGTACAAAGCTCGTAAAATTGGCATTTCTGTTACCTCTACCACAGAGTTTGTTTCCAGATTATTTTTAACTCTGATATCTTTGACAAGGTCAGCGCTTGAAGGAAGGCACAACACAGACTCCTTATGTCTCAACTCAAATGGAAGTGGCTTCACAGAAAAATTACTTTTGAATATTTCTGATATCTGAATAGCTTCCTCTTCCAGCATATTTCCATGGCAAAGGCCTTCAATGTATAACTGCATAAGGCAGATGTAAGTTAATTACATGCAATAAGGAAAAATGAGAAAATCAACACAGTACACAAGTTACTAATACCAAATTATTTTAAATTAGTTATTAGATCTACTAATATATTAATAAATTATTATAACAGTGTATTCTTTTAAAATATCTAATGTATTAGGCATTGTAGAGTTTTAATATGCATTATATTAGTATTTTTTATTTGATTTTAATGCCTTCACCGAGTATACTTACTCTTGACTAATTGTAATGCTTTCATGGTTAGAGTGTTCTGGTTTCATACTTATTGATAAATCTGCATATCTCCAAATAGACATGTAATAAACAATAAAATGCTGTGAAAAAATCAAAGGAACAAAACTAATGACCTTTGTATTAAAGTTTTAATGAAGTTAATTACTCTGTCAGGAATATGATACAGAAAAGAAAATAAGAATTGATTTCCAACCTGGGAAAGAAGATCGGGTACGAAAGCCTTTAAATCTGCAAAAGACAAGTCACTTAACAAGCATAACTTATCCTCCACATCCCAGAAACTTTGACACAAAACTTGCAGTCTTAAATAGGCAGAATGACTTAGAGGCTTCATGTTGGTGTTTCGCAAAGTTCTCTCCATGTCTTCTTTAATAACCTGTCAAGTAACTGTCCATGAGCACATGGAAAAATTCCTTTATACTAATAACTTCTGTACAGTATGCTTAAGAAGTACATGGAGTTATAAACAAAACTCCTAGTCCTATAGTGAAGGGTGTTCATTCTTATTCTGCTTTGTTTGAATTGAAGTAACTCCAAATTTCATTTTCACAGTCTTCCTTTTCTCTTGTTATGTAAACTCCAGACGAGGATAAGATTGTCATTATTTTCTTTGTTCAAGATTCATCATTCTTTAAGAAGCAAACAATATTACATACCCTGAAGCGATCATCCTTTGGAGAAAAAGACTTGGCTATTGCGAGAACTTTAGATAAGAGTACTGAGAGCTTATCGTTGAAACCATATAGCTTAAGCTCTAACTTATCACCATATAGAGAAACAGAAGTCTCTAATTTTGCAACACTGGCCTGCAACCAAAATAATAGGTCATTTAATCAATCGATAAGTAAGGCAAATAGGATCACACGAAACAGCAGAATATCACAAGAACGAACCTGATAAATAATCTCATTGAGCTCGTCTTTCAGGAGCAATATAAATAATTCAGTCAGCACAGCATTCCTTACGTTACTGTATCCTCCTTTCAGCGTAATGCGGAAATATGTGTTAGCACGAGGTAGTTTAAAAGTCTTATCCAGCTTGTACCATAACTTCATATCAGGTTCATCAAGTATACATCTTGGATATGATGCATCTGCAAACTGGCAAGCTGCCTCATCGGCATGTATGGAGAAATCACGCGGAATGAAGTCATTCTTTGATGGCAGATGTAAAGAGGAATCAATTTCTGGAGGATCCTTCCACAAGTCCATTAGATTCAATGGAATATCCTCCTCAACATATTGTGATCCAAACCATGGCTCACACAGGATATCTGAAATAAATAGAAAGGATGTAAGAAAGCGAACAGGGTATAATTTGCGTTAATAAACTAACAGGCATTAGTTTATCCGTATTCCTGGAAAAATTATAATATCAAGTAGGACAGGTATAACATGAATTTTAATTGATGATCCGATGGTTTCATTGTGTGAACCGAATACATCAACAGTGAATACCGACTATTCAACTTCGTTTTATTAAGGAAGGCAAATTCTCAACAAAAGTCAGAATAGTAACCTTGAAGGTTGAGACACCACTACTTTGATTCCTGGGCTAATCAACTAGCTGGTTAACAACTATAACGATATCAACAAATATATTTTCCTTCACAAAGCTAATTACGGTATTATTTGTGTCTGGCTAAACCATCTTTGCTTTCAGAAAAAACCTAGTCCTCTAATCCCTTTAGGTGCTAGTACGAAAGGTTAATCAACCTTGTTCCAATATTTTTCTCTTTGATACCTATATCTGTTGGCATAGGCCAGGACCAATGCCATAGTTGGGCCTACAGAATCCACGTAATCAAAATTTCCCATAACCTTACCCTAACTTATTCACCCTCAAGTACGTAGGTATAGCTTGCCATATCCGTGAAAAGAAAATATGAATCGTATGGAACTTTAATCAATTCTTAATATATTCAGACTCCGAGATCTATGATTTATAGGAGATGTGATCCACATGTACATAGGATATATCCAGACTCTAGAGAGCTATGATTTATATAAAATGTGATTAATACAACAATGATGGAGATCTCGCGTATAGAAATTTACCATCTGACTTCTTAAAAGACTTGGTTAATATGTCAACTCTCATGTTTCCAGGCCTGAAGAAATCCAAAACATGTTTTATCATCTCTTCATCCCAGACTTCATATGCATAGTCACCATAAATAACATGCTTTGGAGGATAAACAAGCAGCTTCTCTGCAATGATAAACTTTAGTCAGAACAAGCCCTCCTTTAAGCAAAGACGCTAAAGAATTTTTTCTGCAACCCTGAAAGAAACTTCTATCATTTCATTTTTATTTAATACAGATATCATCCATGATTTTTCAAGATTTTCATCTTTTCCAAAATAGAATCAAGTCTTAGTTCACAATAGAACATAATATATATATATATATATATATATATATATATATATAAATAAATTCAAGTAAATCTGAAAAATGTCAGATCTATTTCAACTCGAATGACATAATAACATGAAATAAACTAAGAAATATAAATAATTAGCATCTATATCAATGCAAAAAAAAGTGACAGAAAGGAAAAGAGACTTTCGAGCAATATGAAAAAATATGAATTGAGTAACAACATTTTTATTTTGTAGTGCAACCCAAAAGCAAATAAAAGACATGAGGTAATATAATATGATTAAGGTAATATAATATGATTATAATACCAGCAAGTTCTGCAGCATAATCATCTTGGGGTTGCTCTTCCGCAAATCTGAACTCCATATTTCCAATATCTTGGAGTTCCTTAAAGATCCATTCTTGAGGAGAATTTTGACGCAGCAGTTTGAGATATTGATAGATGAAGCCAATAATTTCAAAGATCTACATCATCAATAGCATAAAGAAACAGATGATGAGCAGCTCTAAGACTAGAAGATATGACAAGATACCAAAGAGTGGTAACAACGACAATCTTGGCCGGGAAATAACAACACAATGCAACAGATTCTTATCCAGAAATTGAGTAAATTTAGACACAGAAACTCATCCACCCGTGGATGGTATTCAAAATTTTGTCGATCTACGCAATTAAATATTGTTTTTAGAACAATTTGACTCAAATGTTTCATATCTTCACCATGAATTATATAGAGGCACAGAATTACCTTCTCTAAGCCGGAGTCTGTGAGGTGTATAGACATGCCAAATATATATGCTATAGAAGACCGGTGCATTCCTTCATCACCAACACCAGCAGATATGGAAGTTGCCCAGCCTCTAGCTTTCAAGAAAAAATGCAAACTTCCTCTGCCCTCTGAAATCATATTAGTTTTGCCATCACATATTAGAACTTAAAGCCTCAGACGTGAACTAATTAATGTGTTAACAGGCACTATATGCACTTGCAAACCAGGGCAAATAAAATTATTGCTAAACAACATACATTGTTTATCTTAACCTCGCTCAGAAAATGGTTGCTAAACAAGGGAAAGATACCTACTCAAATGAAAAGAAATAAATGATTCAAAAAATATTGCAGGCATAAATTACTGCATCAAATATTATCCAATTCATTATCATGGCCTGTATTTATTAATCATTACAATTTCCGGAAATATGTAGATATCAAATCACATCTGAAGTAGAATATTTTTTAGTTCACCGATTATTTCAACTGTTCCCACCTCAATCAAAAAATGTGAAAGAGACAAAGCTTGAGAAAAAAATAAAACTGAAAGATTAACAACAACTTATAGAGTAAGGAACATATTGCACCATGAAGATATACTTTCAAGCTGCTTCACTCACTAGAACTACATATGAACGATTGTATCCGTATCAAGAGGCATAACCCGAAACAAAGGAAAATCATAACTAAATAAAATAATGAATACAGAAATACAACTGAATCGACACTTTCCACTTTTACTTAGCTAAATTAACTATCATATGGAAGAGTTATAACAGCAAAATACACCTTACCATGCCCAAGGAGATGAGCGAGGTAGTCTTCAGCTTTTTTCAGATAATCTTTTCGTAATGAAGGCAATGTCCAGGACAAATCCAGGACATGAACATCTTTAACTGCCTCTAACCAGTAAAGTTTGCCAGTTCTCCAAATAGGAATGCCCAAACTCATCTCGGGCTTAACTGAAAGGCCTTTCTTGACATTGCTAAATAAGTCAAGGACCCAGCTTTCAAGTTCATCAAGAGTCTCTGCAGAAATAAAATTCAACAGTTAAAAGGAGAAAGGTAAGGCGATCTTACTTGTCGCTCTACTTCTATTTAAAAAGTAAAAACCAACAGCGGTGAACAACTATTAAACCTAGTTAACATTAGAAGCTACAAATCTTTTGGTTTATAAATCGAATTAGATCCCCCTGTCACCAATCCCTATATATCTCTACTGTATTAAGTCCGTAATTCATAGGAGCTGTTAAAAGGTTAGGTCGTTCAGATAAATCTCTACAAACGATATTGCAATTGACTTCAACACATAACTCAAGAAAGAATGCAAACAGAGACTCGAATATCAATTGGATTAATTTGGTTCACCAATAACCTTTGACGTCAATTCCAGTTATTTCTGAACAATCATGAAAAAACTTACCTCCACCTATGAGAACTAGCTTCATTGATCCACCATAATAATGGTCGTGATATAATTTCAGAATACGATCCCTTAAATTAATTCCTTTCTCCATAGCGTCACCCAAGCTCTTCTTATTTCCTACAAAAAGTGAACAGGAAAATATAGTCCAAATACACATGCTGCCTCAAAACTTGAGTACGAACACGAAGCAAATTAATAAGCGGCAGCATACCCCAGAAGAACCGGTTGAATGCATGGCCTGGGGATGATGTAAAGCATTGCAGTTGTTGCAGGCGGCATGAATCATTTTGCAAAACCTGGTTAAACTCTGTGATCAAAAAGAACATAAGGCTTCAAACAGGCAGCAGAAAGAAATCAAAATGAAGGTGAATAAATTATAGCATTCCATAACTACTGATCTGCAGGGATAGAATATGGATTAACCTGAATCCACAGCTAACACCTCCCGTTCCATGGCTTCAGCTTTTACCAGAGGTGAAGTAAAAAATTGAGCAAACCTGAAATTGGAAATCAAGTCATTTCAGATAACAAAATGGATGTGTATAAAGGCAACAAATACAAGTCATTTCAAATGCATTTTGTGAAGTGGATACCGAGTGTACGAATACCATGGAGGAGAAAACCAATGCAAGAAATTCAATGCAGCACTAAAAGGTTCGTATCAGTATATAAAATATTTCAGGCTAATGGAAAATGCACATGTTAATGAATAAGGAGTGAAGCACAACATAAGAGAATGACAATGGGAGAAATGAGCATTCACAAAAAGATACAAAGGGAGCAGCAAAATATAAACTAGAAAATAGGTGGAATATAGTGAACGTGAACATATAAGCTTAGAAGAAACTGATATTGTGACTCATACGTCACAAGTGTGATCGTCAGTAACCCCTTTTACATGCAGATATGTGTACGAGAAATGCAAGTGATTAACCTCATGCAGTACATAATGTGGCTTGTTTAATGAACGCAAGCATGTAAAACTTGGGGTCATTATAAGAACCCTTTCGTTTACCTTGTCAAAGCGCCCTTAAGGAACTCCCTTTTTACTTCAAAGTGGTAACAAGTATGCTCAGTTTCTGTATATGCATTTGATGAACCTCCATGCTTGGACAAGTAACTATCATACTAGAAAGAAACGAGTCAATTAGGGAAGCCCTATTTCTATCTTGATTCTTGAGCACTTAAAAGAGATTTAAGAACATTTGATTTTACAAGTACTCAAAACAAGGAGTTTCCACAATAAAATGAATCACGCTTCAGATATTCAATGAAGTTTTATATCGAGGCCCCTTTTCTGATTCCATAGTTATTTTCTATGTTTACCGTAAAAACAATAAGGGTTTGTTTTAAGACAGTTTGATAAAGGTCCCCAATGTTGGAAGTGTGTTACATCTTCAAGATGCACATGAAATATTTTTATCGCTAGTTTTGCTTGAAAAGAGTTATATTTTTCAAGTTGGTGCATCAAAAAATTTCAATAGAACACCAAAAGAATATCACACACAATAATTCGCAAGTAAATATTTCAATTTAATTTATTTCAGTGTACTTATATTTCTCTCTCCCACCTCAACTTTCACAAATTCCTTCTCCACTTTTAAACTTTTTTTCGATGGAGGCAAAAGACATAAGGCAAGATGGAATAAGCTTTGCTTTTCGGATAAAGAAAATTTTATCTATTTGGCCTACAGAAGATTTCACCCTTCACTATGACACAAAGGGAAAAAAAATGGAGTTACTAAAATTTCCCGATTCTTTTATGTTACCAAGACTATAACTTAAAATAATGGCAACCAAAAGCATTCTCACATGGGCAAAACCAGATCCAAAAAAAATCATCAGAAACAACATTAAAAATGGTTCATCCAATGGTCCTTCATGTTTCAGCCGGGTTTATTTTTTCATTTTCCAGATTTAGAAGTGTGGGGGAGGTTTGAGAACTAAAAGTCACCAAGATTGCATCAATTAGGCAGTGTCACAAAATGGAGCATAACGACGAACCTCATTTTCGTCTGGGAAATCAGTACTCCCCATGAAAAGCATGTGTTCTGCAACAAAATTTGAGAATCAAGTCATGTTCGATTTACAATTTTAGTTGTGCTCCGCAGAACCACATCATGTTTCTACATATGCAAAATGTGAGGCAATGAACAGCATAAGGTTCGAGAAAAACTAAAAATGTACTTCGCCGTCTAGGGACAGTCAGTTAACTAGTTTTAGAGCTACTTCAGACTACCAAAATTCCTTTAATATCATCAAGGATATTCGATGCTACTTCAACAGAAAAAAGTCAGTTGGCGTAACATTTAAACACTTCTTATTCACCTCAATTTGAATCACAAATGCCAAAACATACAACTAATGATAAATGGCCAAATTATTATGTCATTGAGTTATCTATTCAATTATTTCTTTAACCATCATATCCCTCCCTTTAAAATCTCCAAAAAAAAAATTATCAATTCAAATGCACAAAACTACTGCAACTCAAAAAAAGCAAAAATGGAAAACCTAAAAAGTGTGCCAGGCCCTGAGCCTCAAAAGGATCTTCAAAACTTCCCATTCCCACACACATTGCGGCCGCCGCCTGCAAACAACAAGTAAAATAACAAAAACAACCTCAAATCAACTATGGACAAATTAATCAAAACTCGATTAAGTAAATCCAACATTTTCCAATTCGAATTGTTGAGAATCTGACCTTCTTCTGCGCCGAGCCTTTCCGCTCCTTCACTCCTCCATTTTCTTCTTCTCCGTCGCCGTCCTCCTCCTCCTCGTCCTCCTCATCGTCACCGTCGCTGTCTTCTTCTTCTCCATCGGAGTCCTCTTCTTCTCCGTCTTCATCATCGTCATCTTCCGCCTCGTCTTCATCCGTTTTGAGGTTTCCAGAAGGTTCGTCGGAGTAAATCTCGGGATCGTGAACCAGCAGAGCACACAGGCCGTTAGTGAGCTGTATGAATCTGTAGAGACGCCGGTCATTGGGTGACTTCTCGACGACGTCGTCCGACGAGGTAGCGCAGCCGCCAACCGCCATTGTCAGCTGTGGAGGACGACGGGTTGAGGAAAAGCGATTGAGTTTCGGGAACGAGTTGCGATTCTTCTTAGTAGCAAAATATTTGAATGAGAATCGGTTGAGTCGAATATTCGAGTTAACATTTTGGGCTAATAAGGCGTAATGGGGATTGGAGCAGCAGCGCAGCCCGTCAACCAAACCCATCCTCAATTATATTATTATCCTTTTTTTTTTTTTCTCATTTCTCTTTAATGTTGGAATATATGAACAAATAATGAAAGAAACTCAGTTTTAACTTTATTCATAATTTTATTAAACTTTATTTTCAATTTAAAAAATATTGTTATACGGTTGCAACTCGATAAATTAATAGTCTCGCTTAAATATTTTGTTTTTGATCTCTACTCGGTGAATTAATAGTCTCGCTTAAATATTTTGTTTTTGATCTCTACTCGGTGTAAGCGTACCAAAATTATTAGTTCCGATAATTTAATATTTCCCTAAATTAATAGAGTTTTACTAGTCTCGACGGAATTAATTTAATGAGCAACTTACCGCCAACCCCATGAGGTATGGCCAAATTATGGAAAAACCTATTTTGTTTGGGTAATTACACTCACCCCCTTTTAAATATTTTTACGTAAAATTTATGTAATTCGGTTATTTACCAAACCATATCGTATATTTAGTTCAATAAACGGTATGAAATGTTGGCTTACCGAACATTTTATACCGTTTACCGAACTGAATATACGATGTAGTGGTAGAAACTCACTAAGATCCCTGATCCCATTTAGAGTTTGGACTTAGGATTACTCTCTAATAAGGATTTTACTAATTAAACTAAAGGTGAATTGCAAAAGAAAATAAAAATACATGAGGAAGGCATTTAATTAAAACACACATATTTCAAAACTTATACTATAAAGTATTATTTCAAAAAATAAAACAAACATATTTTGGTTCTCAAATAAATTAGAGCACACCAAAAAATATATATAGATGAAACACACTTGACAGAAGATCATAACAATTACTAATAATAAATAAATAAATAAATAAATAAATAGTGTGTTATTATATAGCTAGGTAGCTAGAAAGGCATGGGATGGTGATTAATGCTGGGTGAATAAGGTGAGTAAGGCGAGCTCATGACAAATGAATTTGGTGTACTGTTACTAATATTCCTTGGAGAACGTGGGGTCCGCGGCGTTGCGGGTCCCACGGGGCTTCTCGATATCGATGACGTCATCATTGCCGTGCTATTGCCGCCGCAACGGTATCTATTTTGATCAGTATACGTACCGCTCCTCCTCGGCCCTTTCTCCGCCCACTTGAGCTCTTGTTGCTTCATGCCAGAACGATATCCCATGCAACATCCCACATTCCCCGCCTTGTGTATGTACCTGCGTCGATCAGTACTCGATCCATTTAATCAACTATTCTACTGTATGTATGTATGTATGTATGTATGTATGTATGTATGTATGTATGTTGTATGTATGTATGTATGTATGTATGTATGTATGTATGTATGTATGTATGTATGTATGTATGTATGTATGTATGTATGTATGTATGTATGTATGTATACCTCTGGCTGAATCTTCTGCCCAAACATTCGATACACTTTCGACCTTCTGTCATCTCTCCCATTCCGATGCTCACGCACTGCCTGCAATAAACTCGTCCACACACCTGCACAAAACCTCTATAAATTAATACAGTCGGGACAAAAGAAATTCTATTAATTTAGCGAATTATTAACTTATTGAGTTAATAATTTAACACGTTATTAATTTAAGCAAGGTTATTAATTTATTGAGTATAAATTTGTCGAGGTTCTACTGTACGTAAGTACGTACGTATATAACTAATAACAACAACTTGGATGTGATTAATTAGTAATCATAAAGTTAAAGAAACAAATCAGATATACATACGAGGCAACGGTGGCGGCAGATGTATATGTAGTTGGAGCAAACGGTGCATATATTGGAGTGGGGAACACCGGGGCGCCGCCTCCCTCCTCTCTCTAGGCCACCTCCACCGTAAGCCACGCTCGTCATTCCGCTGACATGGCTCGTGTCGTCGTCATCACCATACGCATGCATGTGGACCCCACCACCAATAGAATGCAAGTTGCTCCCACCTCCATGATGACCATGATGTTGTTGTTGTTGTTGATGTTGATGTTGATGTTGATGTTGATAATGATGACCGCCGTCATGTGGGCCCCACAAGTGTTCGCCGCCGCCGCCACCACCTTCCTCCGATCGGTGGTGGTTCTGGAAGGTGGAAGATGCAGCGGCTTGTATGCTCTTGTTGAAGTCTATGCTCGGAAGTTTGGCTAAGGATGATGATGACGTTATGTTATTATTATTCGGTTTGAATTCCGTGGTTGTGTTGGACGATGATGGCGATAAGGCGGTCTTCTTCTTTTCGATGACTTGAGCTAAATCTTGGAAAGTTAGGTTGACCGAGTCGTCGGGGACTCCCAAGTACAATTCCTCGAGCTCTTTCTTCGCCTTTGCTAATGTCGTTGCTTTCTGATCTCCCATCTCTCTAATTAACGAATTTTCTTGATGTGTGTAATTACTTTATGAATAATGCTTCGAAATCGGGTTTGATTGAATTGTGTTATGTAGAGAGAGAAAGAGAAGTTAGTTAGGCCGGTTTACGCGTAAACTGTTGTGTTAATTAGTGAATATTTTAAAGAGGGCAGGGCATAGTTTCCAGAACTATAGGATACAAGAATGAGAGCAGGCGGCCTATTGTTTTTGCATTGCAATATTGGATGCTTTCGTTTTGTTCTTTTCAATAGGATTTATACTGATGTGATGATTCACTACTATGAGAGAGAGAGAGAGAGAGAGAGAGAGAGAGAGTTCAACTGTTTTTATATAGTACAAGAGCATTGTGTTAGTCGTCTACACTCATTTGACCTCATCAATAAAAAACAGAGTCCGGCCTCTAAAGTAAGTATACATATATATATATATATATATATATATATATATATATATATATATATATATATATATATATATATATATATATATATATATATATATATATATATATATATATATATATATATATATATATATATATATATATATATATATATATATATATCCACTGAATGAATTCATACAGTACGAGGAAGTGAAGTTAAACTGGTCTTAGTCATGCAAAAAAAATTCAACGTTCTTTTCATTGACAGTACGTGCAAATATTGTTTTAAACAGTCTCCAAAGTACATTAAACAAAAATGTATTTTACATTAAAACGGTGCCGTTTTGTGTTAGCATTTGTCTTCTCTAATGTAAACAGAAATTTCATTGGTATTGTCAGTGTGTGGATTATAATTTACAACACATTTTCAATTAGATAGATTATAAATCACATATCAATTTAGGGTGGCGTTATCATAGATTATATTAAAAAAATTAGAACCAAATTTATTATATTTAAATTAAATAGTTTTAATTATTTAGAATTCCACATCAATGTGATTTCGTCAATGTATATATATTGGTAATATAAATTTAATAACGTGATAATATAATTTTGTTCGACCAAATAAAATATTAAATGATTATGAATGACAATATTATTTTGTATAACTATTAACTATAATTCCCTTCTTATAAAACAAATAAACAATATTACGACTTTCCGTACTTAGATATCTTTAATTATTTGTTGGGCGAATTATGTCCACTCATGAATACGGTCAAATTATGAAACCCCCTCATCTTGTTGGATAATTACAATCATCTCATCAACTATGTATTATTAGTTTATTACGGAAAAAAACACCCTCCAGAGGTAAATTTAAAAATTGTTAAATCGGTACAACCAAATTGAAATTTTGGTACGCCAACATTTATACCGTTTATCGAACTGAATATACGATTTGATCCGATAAATAACCGAATTACATACCTTTTATGTAAAAATATTTAAAAGGAGAGGGGTGACTGTAATTACCCAAACAATAGGAATTTTTAAGTAATTTGTCCATACATAAGGGGTGGCGATAATTTGCCCTTATTTATTACAGTGACAATCAGAATCGGGTTCACTAGGAAATTTGGGTTTCTTTGCAATTGGTTTCCTTATGTTATTAATTAGAGTTGCTTTAAATTACGTGCAATAGAAATCCTAAATATAGTAACTTTCTATAATACAAATCCGAATTAATTTAACCATAAAATCCTTGTTATATATACCCACGTTGACAACAAATATTGGTGAACCTCTTTCTCTTTCGTTTTTTTCGTAAGTCTTTGTCAATTATATTTTTTACCTTCGCTGTAATTTCTTTTGTTACTTTTACCTATCTTATAAAACTCATGAACTCTTTGCAATTTACCTGCAGACAATTTATTACTATGGAGACGAAGGGCGAAAATGGAGCTACCGAAACTCCTTTGCTTATCTTATCTCAAGGTGAACCGGTTGGGGCACATTCAATTTACGACATGTCGGAGAATCTGTTTCGCAAGTTAAATATTCCGACGTTTACCGGCAAAAAGTTGCTCGGTTCTTTCTACGGATGGTTGGTTCTAGTGGAACCGCTCCATTATAACGATGGCGATGGTGATTGCTGTCTTTTCAATCCAACAACCAACGATGTAATCGAGCTCCCAAAATTAAACGACTCGATCAATTACGACCAATGTGTGTTGACCGGTCCTCCCACGGAACAAGATTGCTATATTTTGTTCAATGGCTTGGAACAAGCCTTTTGCCGGATCGGAGACAAAGAATACGTGATACGAACATTAAAACAACAAGAAGAAGAAGAACAAGAAAATGGTCGTGTTGGTTTTGATAACCTGATTGCGATCGGATCTTTTCAAGGTCAGACTTACGGCTTCATGGATCCCGATAAATTTGTTGCTATTAATTTCGTGGGGAATACGATGGAGTTTAGTCGGATACCAATGGTGGAGCCTTGGGTCATTCCTCATGATTCGGACGAGTCGGGTGTGTACGATGTATGGTTGTTCAGCGGTGAGCCTTTGATGGTTCAAAAAATATACGATGATTGTGGTGTGGTGTTGGACTTCCTCGTTTTTCAGATTGATCGGTTTGATACGGATCAAATAAAGTGCACTGAAGTAAAGAATATAGGGAATCGGACGATTTTTGTCAGTGACGACGGTGTTGGATATTGTCGTCCGTCTATAGGAACAAAGGCAAATTCGATTTACTATTCAAATGGAGACGACATGATTATCTACATCTTTGATTTGGAAGATCGAAGCACAAGCATGCTGCCGTCGTCGGACGATGCTGCAGCCAACAAGTCAATAATGACAGCGTGTTGGATTGAAAACCAACAATTATTTTGATAGTTTTGTTTTGTTACTAAGTTTTTGCAAAACCGACTTTAGCTTTTGCTTCTCTTAAAATAAACTGTTTTAAGTTATAATTTTAAAAGCACCCATGTACCTGCATTTTCTATTTAAATTGTTTTTCCAGATTTTTTGCAAACACCCCCAACTTTTAGAATTAAGCATTTAATATCAACTCGCTTTTAAATAAGCTTTTGCAAACACCACCGTAATCCTAAGTTGAGACAAATCAGCAGTAACTAAAACCAAGTATCGAGTTGCATTACGAATGTTTTAAGCCGTTTTAGCACAAAACAAACCCACAAATGTCGGACCAAAATCGACTCGAAAAACTCTTTCCCCACAAAACATTACTGTGTTGTCTCACTAATATAAAGATATACGCTCCGAAAGTCGACCCAAAAAAAGAAAAGAAAACACACACGCATTATATTGGATTAAAACCCCCGGGGCCATCTTTCCGATTATTCCCCTCCGCCAAATCTCCATCAACAGCAGCAACAGTAGCATCAATCTCTTCAGTCGATACTGCCCCATTGGGTGGGCCCACATACGCCATATCCAACGGTAGAGAAGTAACGGCGTTCATCAAAGTCGTCAGGCTTATACCTGCCGCTTCTGCAAGAAGAGCCTCCTCCTCCCGGTGTGGATCGCAGTTCAAGTCCAACTCCGCCGTTTCTCTCTCCTCAGCATCTTCTCTCTCTAGCCCCCCGCCGGTATTCTTGGCGGGGCCCGCCTTGTCGTCCTCCTCCTCCACCGCAGCCGACGCCGCCTTGAGCTGCAGAGCCAGCTCGGCCTCGCGGTCGGACTGCCGTTTCTTCTTGCGCATCATGAGGGTCTTGAAGCGGCGTTTGACGGTCAGGCAGACGTTGCACTTGCAAGTGGGCTCGTGCTTGCCCTTGCCGCTAGGCGGCTGGATGCAGACTATGCAGGAGCAACCCGGGCGGTGACGTGGATGCCTTGTGGTGGCGGCGGCCCCCACCGAAGAAGACTCTGCTCCTACTATGTTGTTGTTATTGTCTCCCAGTACTGCTGCGGTTGCCAGTGCGTCTAGTCCTGAAGGCTCCCCTTCTTTGTTGGATGCCTTGTCTGAAACTTTTCGCTTCTTCGAATCTTGGAAAAGAAGGGCAAAATGGGAAACTATCAGGGATTTTTTTGTTTTTATTTTTTTGGATAAAGATTGGTTCTTTAGTAAAAAAGTGAATAATATTCAAAATCACTCGGTAACGAAACTGCCGTAGAAAAAGCTAAACCCGTTTTTTTCTTGAAATAGTAAGATATCGAATTAAACAATTTTTAAATATAGAGAGGGCCTAAACAAAGAATGCAATTTATAACCAATTTAATTGTGTTCAGTTCCTATTTTCCTAGGGGGACAAAATCTGGCTCGTGACACAAACCGAAAAAACTTGACAAGCAAAGTAAAAGAACCCGTTTTTTCTTGAAAATAATAAAGATGGTTGTTTGACAAATATACCCCCATCAAAATCGCCACATGTAGTCCAAGTCAATTCTAAAAACCAAATCTTGGGCAGAATTGTATTTTCACAATACTACCAAGATGAATAGTCGAAATGTGTCATCCTAAGACGAACCACTAAATATTGGGCTCCCGTGTAATAAAAAAAACCATCGCGTTAGATTGGACAAAATAGTAAATTCGCACATGTAGAGAGATTGTAAACTGGATCATACCCTTGTAAGCACTGATGCAAGATTCCAGATCTCTCGGGTTTATATCCTCTGGAGCATAACACGAACACCTGGAATAAACGAACCACCGTAACAGAAAATTACGTTAGAAACTATTTATAATACGCGCATAGCATATTAATCACGCCATGTTCGAAAAAATTTGAACGATAAAGATTATTTATACTATAGTACTCCAATTAACTTACTCGTATTCCAACACTACCCGTTAACTATGTAACCGTATATTATGCAAGATTTCTTCAACGAAAACGAGTAACGTAATTCGGAGTAATTTTTCCCATCAAAAGCTCAAATAATTGAAATTAATTTCGAAAGCGACTGACCTTTTCGAGTCCCATGTATTCTCCGAACATGTCCACTTTCCGGAAAGAAGAGCATGCACCGGCAATCTTCGCCATTTTAAGCAACTGTCGCACTGCGCCAGCTGTTCCTGCTCCCTGATAACATTATTAAAAAAAAATTATATGTATATACGAAATTAGTCACAATATTCATTACAAGGTTGTCGTGAATATTTTGTAACCGATTGGATCGATAAGAACTATTTAGTAAAACCTAGTCCACTTTGAGTTTTGTCCCGAAAAAGGAAAACGATAACCCTTACCCTGAAATTCGGGAAGTGAAAATCGTCCTCTTTCCAAAAATCGGAGGTTCCTTAACAAAAAAAAAAAAGACAATCGAAAATGAAATTCCATTAAAATTAAATTAAAAAAAATAAGAAGAGAAGAAACATAAAAAACGAAGCTTTACTTGAAATTCTTCAAATAAATGGTCCTCGATCATGACGAAAGTTGGCTCGGCATTTGGAGTGGGACGAAGCAACTCTTGCGCTTCTTCCCAGGTAACTCTTAGTTCCATAGCATCTTCGTTGTGCATTAAAAGCCTCTTGTTTTTAATGTTTCGAGCCTTTTTCTTCTCCGACAAGGTGGTCGACATATGCCGCTGAAGCGAATCATCAGATGTTCGACCTCCATTCTTAACATTATTTACCAAAAAAAAAAACCCAAAAAGTATCTCGATCAGAATATTTGCTGAAATAAATACATCCATGACAGGAGGTAATTAATTAAATAGCAAGCGACAACTTACTGAAAAAATATTATTGTCGGTCACACCGGAAAACGATGTTTCGCCGGGAGAATCGCCGTTTGTAATGGCAAGTGGCTGTGTATCCTAATTGTTCGTTCCAAAAATTATACGTCAGCACCGTTTTAATATTGTTGATAGAATTTAACGGAGAAAAAAAATTATCGAAGAAAATAAATTTAAATGATTAGGTATGCCCTGTACCTGCAAATCGAAAATGTTTGTTGCTTTTCGACAGCCTATGACAAGTTGACCACCAGGATCTATGCGACTAAATATCACTATCAAGAAGCACAGATAAAACGAGAGTCAATAACCGATTTCCCCACACTATGAATACACACACACACACACACACACCTGTGTCGCCAGCTTGTACTTGCATATTTTGGATGCAAGGGGTTACGCCCTCCAATACATACATCCGGCTGTTATTATTAGGCCAAAATCGGAACTGAAACAACCACTCTTTTCCCTTTATGTCCTGAATATTTATCGGTATACCTTCCGACTGATTAATAGGCGGGAAATAAGCCTGCAATATAATATATATGTTATTTTCACATATGAATACGACAAAACCAGTAAATTTGGGCAAAAGCCGAAATTAAAAAATGCTCACCTCGGCACATGCTTTAGGAAGCACAAGGCGACCGATTCTGCCAGCATCACTGGCACTCAGGATTTTCTCGAACAAAGGCACAATGGTGGATTTTAAACTAGAGAGCCACAGTTAAGGCAAATCGTAAATATAAATTAAAAAAAAAAGATAGTTTTTTTTTTAAATAAATAAATAAATAAGGATACTCTCCAGATAATTGCTGCAATTCTTGATCTGTGATCTTCGGCCAGTACCGAGGAAGCAACTGATTACGGCCCCGCCCTTCAGCCGGAGGCCTAGCAACACGTGCTTGTGAAAAGCTCCCTTTATTTAACTCTATAGGGCTCGGTTTGGGGGGTTTCGGCAGAATATGACGTGCTTTAAGCCCCCCTTGTTGGGGAGAATTTTTGCTAAGTTCAATACCATCAACGACCCCACCAGAGTAAGGCAAAATCGGAGGCGTCAGAGAGAAATTTAGAGATGGACGAGGTAATATAGATTCGTTTGCATCTTTTGGTCTGCCGTTATTGTCTGATTTGAAAAAAGTGGACGGGGAACACTCTTGTGTGAGATTAAGTAGGCGTTTGTTCGTTTGCCTCGTTTTATTGAGCATGGATTCTTCTTGTTTAAATTGCTGGAATGCTGAACTGAAATCGCTGGTTCCTATAGCTTTGGTCAATTGCAGTAGCCTCTCGGTACTGAATTTGTCGTCGTCGATTCGATTCTCGACAATTATTGGACGAGTGTCTCTTATACCGTTTGTGAGAAATGTGCCGTTGGAAATATCGCTAGGAATCTGCGAGAGTAATTCAAAGTATAAGCAATGGTGAGCCAAATAGAGCATATCAAAATCGACGAGCAACCGTTAGCTAATGCACGACTTTCGAAGAAAATCACGAATATAATTGCGAAATATTTAATTAGAGCAGTCGTGATAAAAGCATAAGCAGTTCGTGTATATTGCATACAACCTGAATCGGTTTCATAGAATGAATTTCGAGACGCTTTACGCAGCTCATGCACCCAACTCCGCCATAATCCATGTACTCGTGCAGAAAACGAGAAACAATGCATCCACAATGGACCCTCTGCCGTAACAAAAAAAAAGATGGTTTCAAAAACTGGAAAGAAACCAACATTCAAAATAACCGTGAGTATAATATTATTTGTTACCTTCCCGCATATTTTACACTCCCGCCAACCAGATTCTTCCGCGTGGAATTTGTCGCAGAAAATCGAATTCTCATAGGCAGATCTGAAAGCACAGATGGCAGAATCTTAAGTCGTGACGAAGCATTTTTAGTATGTCCACATGTCGAGATACAACACGTGTCATGTGATCGAGAGCCACAAATACATGCAACTCACGGCCAAATTAAGGATAGTCTTTTAAGATTAAGATTTACGAACGAACCATTAAATGCAACCAACCAAAAAAAGAAGGGATTTTTATTTGTTACGTGCAAGAATGGAAGAATACGGTCCGTAATATTTATACATCGTAACAACCCTAAAGCCATAGAAATCTCGCCTATTACACCAAGAAGCTATAGATATAACATAGACTTTTCTCGGCTGAAAACAAGATTCGGCTAAAAATACAGAAATCGATGCAAGTATATGGAATGTTCTTGGAACAATTAGACAAGTGAAACAAATAACATTACTACAACCTTTGACTTCTGTCTTTCCTAACAATGTAAATGTGGCACAAGTTCATAAAAAAGAATCCTAAAAATAGAAAATTTTCACTTGTTAGTAGTAAATAAGTTCATCAGTCATCACCATTACACAAGGAGAAATCCCAAATTGAAAATCCCTAAACTAACCCTCATACAGCAGGGGTGATTGGGGGTAATCTCAAATGAAAACGAGGGTTAAAATTGAAATTAAGGAAAATTACCCGCAGGTGTAACAAAGCGTGGCGAATCCACCTGATTTCAAGGTCCAGCCTTTCTTCCACTCAGACGACGTCGTTCCGCGGCAAGCCTCGTTCATGCAATTTTGCGAACCCATTTCTCCCGAATTTCAAATCTTGGACTGAAAAAACCCCAAATTGGAAACATCAAAAAAAAAAAAAAAAAAACGAAAACCCTAATAACCCATCGACGAAACCCAGTTGACCCAGATCAGAAACTGAAATTCAACTGAGATTCTCAAATCGAAAGCCGAGAAAAGGCGCTGCTTCGTAATCACGAACTGAAAGAAAAAATTAAAAGAAAAAAAAATTCATCTTTGAAACTCACCTCTGTTTCAAATCTGCCAAACGCAACGTCCGCATGCGAACATCTTCAATCAAAAACAGAACCCATATGCTGGAAATCTCGGATTCAACCCCTAACCAAAAAACAGAGTAAAATCAAGAGGCGGCGGCGGCGGTCGGTGGCCCACGGCGGCGGCTCTACTGCTTCCAAAAATTAAATTAAATCAAAACCAAGCGGAAGAAGCCACAGATGTGGATAAATACATGTACGTCTACCTATATGTTTAGAGAGAGAAAGAGAGAATGGGAGGGCGAAGAGAGAGAAAAAGCGCGTGTGCATGCAAAGGGGGGAGAGGAGAGGAGAATCAGAACAGAACAGGTGCACAAAATGCATGCACGACACCACTCACATGTATGTATGTATACTCTCGCCCACAAGAAAAAACTGCCTTTTTTATGTCGGATTTTGAGGTTTTTATAGTTGTGTAATGAGAATGGAAGCCTCTCGGCGTTCAGACAGTGATATATGAGTTGACACCGAGGAAGGGTTTCGTAAAATAAATAAATAAAATTACGGTGGTCAGTCTTATAAGTAAAAGGTCAGGTCAATGCTAGTAAATTGTAGTAACTTCACTTTCCCCTTTTTTTTATATCTTTTTGCCAAATTAAGAAAATCTATTATTATAGATTCCAATCTTTTTTTAAAAAAAATTACGATATCGTAACCAATACGTGCACTAGATAAAACTATATCCGTTTTTTCGATTTAGTTGATATTGTGGGTGTGTCTCTATTTCATATGGTTGTAATTGGATTTGAATTGTGTTTTGTACTAAATTGGATAGTATATTATAAGCAATATTATGGAATTCATTAATTTGCATGGTAGTAGTTCATATTTGCATGGTAAGTAACTATATAAAAAAAATTATCATTTATTGTGGAAAAGCTAAATAATTGTAAATCCCAAACGATAACACTAAATTGAAATTGTCAAAAGTGCAGCGGAGTCAGCATAGAACCAGGGGTCGTGACCCCCAATAATTTTCAAATTCTCTTTATTTTATTATATAAAAATACGAATAAAAAAATTGTGTATGAATTGCACTAACGGCCCTCCAATAATTTTTTTAATGCATTCGGCACCTCGGACTTAAAATCCTCGTTCCGCTGGCTACTGCATGCTATACAAAAAAGGTTGACCAAAATTAGTTCATGATATCCATTATGTTACCTAATTATTAAGAATTTTAAAATCTAAATGGTTTAAAGGACGACTTTAATGGTGGTTGCTAAGACAATGAATTTACCTATTCATGTCTATCAATCCTTTTCAACAATATATTATTATAATATTTATAAGAATCGAATATGGCAATGCTGAATTTAATAATTAATTACATGCTAATTACGTCTATATATTAAAGGCGTGGATCGAGTAAATACGTCATTACGTAAAACTATATTTGATTTTTTCCTCCTCTTCTGATGATGACGACTCAACAAATAAATCTCAGAGATGCATGAAAAGCATATATAGTATTTTCTTTAATTTTATTTCAAATTAATTGGTGACAGGTGGATTTCTTTATATGGAATATAAACTTCCATACACAAGCAGATTTGGCAGAACAATCATAATTGGGATTAATTATAATTACAATTGCTAAACCATATTTCTGGTGCGTCTGATTAATGATTATGTACTGTAAATGGAAACAACAACAGCTGTTATGTTTTTACCAACTTTACCAGGTACACATAATTATAAAGTTTTTCAAATTGTATTAAATATTAAATATTAAATATTAAATTAGCTAACTTATATAATTATATATATAAAAAAGGATTCAATTATTTGATTTAAAACGTTTGTCTAAGTCAGCCATCTGGCATGAGTGGTTGCATAGAAACAGGAAAGAAATTTGCATGCATTGTATACTTACACCTGAAAGGAATGCTAACCTTATCAATACAGATAACCAGCAAGAGATGCAAAAACAAAGTCGACTACAATATACGTGTTCGTTTTTTTCCCATGCTCCGTTCAATCACGATTTATCGGCTGCATCGCCCCTCACTGTGCAAAAATACGATATTTTACTTTGACAACTTGGTAATCGGTATAGCATAAATTGCAAGGAATCACAATATGACGGAATGAAATGAAATTAACCTGCAGTCGAGGAGCATGATTCTTCACTGTCGAGAAGTCACCGGAAAGATAGGGAATTCAAATTATTAGTTCAGAATAAAAGGAAAAAAAATTGAGATGTTGAACAAAAATGGAGAAATGTGAAACCTCCGCAGACTCAAGCTGTCTCTGTTGTCGTCTCTCGCATAGCGGTTAACAGTACTTTTAACATCGTTGTCAATTTCAATACCAGGGTACCTGTACCACACACGCTATGAGTAAATACCCAAATTATATATTAAAATAAAACCCCGCAAAGTTTACTTACCATCTCGTATCTAAGATTATGTCATCTGGAAGGTCCTTTGCGATCTGATGCTTTGTATAAGGAACAGGCGACTCTGATAAAACGAGAGCAAAACTTGTCAGTTTTGTGGAAATTCAATAACAAAGAGTAGAAGCAGCACAAAATACAATCTAGGTGATACATATATATAGTTTCCTGATATGATGGAGAATTCATTTCATAAAAACGTGTTTGACGTGAATTTGTCGTAGAATAATATTGTATACAATCTAAACGAGAACCATAAGCATTTTGCGAAATGAGGAAGCACCTCTCATATCAAAAATTTCAGTTCCTCTGGTGCTAGAGCTGTACAGTCATAAGAATATCTCATCAGTGAATCGATAGTCTTAGGAAGAGGGATGGAAAAATGATTTAAGTTTAGAAAAAAAAAACCTTTTCTTCTGCCGATTCCAGCCTTCGAAACTGAAGTCCTGCTTCCAGGGGTCTTTATTATGGAAATAATCATCATAACCACAATTTCTTTTATCAACCCGATTTTTGCGAAATGATACATACTCGCCCAGGCCCACGTCATTAATACTGTCGTCTAAGAATGCACCACCTGCAAAATGAAAAAGAATCAGTTGTGCCACTTAATCATATTGAAGCGAAATGATACAGAAATCTGCTGGATGTCAGTAGAGCAGTGAAATTCTAGGCCTATTTGAATTTTCTAATATGGTACTTGAAATAACCGAATGATATTCGATGTCTTAATGTTCTAAAAATCACAAAGTGAAGTAAATAAAAATGATGATCGAAGATGAAGTTTCACACATCAATGTTTTAATGTCCTAATGAACCATGAAGTAAACTAAAAGAAAGAACGGAAGATGAAATCGCAAATATAAAAATTACCATTCCAAATGTTTCTGCCACTGTCTCGAACGCTGTAGATGGGTTCTTCATTGGCAAAATCACCGTGCAAATTACTACCATCCCAGTTCAGCGAAGAGGGGTTTGTGAAATTTAAGGATATGTCGTATGGGTCGTCAACGATATTCATCGTGTCCCTTGAGCGGAAAGGTTGCTCGGTAGAACTTCCATATGGCGAAAATTGAATATCCTGCATCACTGCATCCTGTCCCTTTCATGTATGAGTTTGAGAATCTGGTCAATAAACTATAAAGTACTGTAATTTATATTCTACTGACAGATAATGATACAGGAATAATTGGAATTGGTTTGGATATTAGATTTACATTGATTCCCCTTCAAAGTTCAAACACACTAATACTTTCTCCATAATCATCCTCAAGAAGAAAATCATAGGCTATTTTGAACACTAGTACTAAGCCGAAAATGCCAAGTTCTAAACTAGTAGTAACTAGTAACTGTTCCATCACAGAGTTAAGTTAATAGTCAAGACAAGTTTTCAAACAAGAATAATTCAGAATGAATAAAAAATCCAAATGTTTGGATGACAATAAGCTAAGGAATATACTAATAAGCTGTGGGTAATAAAACCGAAGAGCCCATAGAGTTTATGTAACTGACAAGAGGCTAAATGATCTTACCACTTGAGATTCCAGGTCATGAATACCAAAATCTAAGTGTTTTGATGTGATGGGCTGTCTTGTTGCTTTTCTTGGCATAGAGAAACCATTTGGAAAGGATCTGTGGACATGTTAAACAAGAGATCCCTGATTAAATGGGAACTTTATTACTGAAATGTGGGACAGTAAATTTCAGTATTGTATAACTTCAATTCAAACCTATTATTCCATAATCCGGACATTATCAATTTTAATCATTGGAGCCGGGTAGAAAAATCAATTCCATCTAATGTTTCTTACTAGACCTCAGAATTTTTCAGACCAAATAACAAACACAGAAAACCAAATGTAATGCGACTGAGATGCTAAAACTTGATCTAGGGTCCTTACTACTATTAACACCACTGTTTATTTTTTTCTGTTTGTGATGATTGACGTAAATTTATTGCTTTAAAACACAAGAAGATACCCTCAGAACTGCATGCCTACATATAAAATTCTGTTATGACTGCTGTATTTCATGCGCTATTTGGTATCACTTATATAAATGCATATATATATAGAACTCACCTGCCAGGTATCTTTGGTGAGTGGACAGGAGTTTCTGTTCCCACTTTACCTAAACCTGAAATGCATAATCACTCTACAAATGGGAAACGTATTATCAAGTACTAAAGTCTTCAGTTATAATTACGAACCTTATACAGTTTCAAAGCACAATTGAAGTCTTTCAGAATTTGCAAGACAAGAAATTTCTATACAATGTCAGAGAGAATCATACTAAAGTGAAATGCTGCAGTTTCGTCAGTTGTTTATCCTAATATGTATGAAAGGATGAGAATTAGAAGTAAGATGCCAATCATTCATTTTCTATAACTTCCACTTTCATAATTTTTTTTTATCATTAGTAGACTCATGGTGGGAGCACTTGTGCTATTAGTGGATTAATCAAGTAGGTAAAGGAAGTATCTCGAAAGGGAGAAATAATGATGGGGCAGATATATTTTGTATTGGATTTTTCAGCAATCTGACACAAGGCTCTGGGGACGAATGAGAGTACTAAGATTATCCACTAAAAGAAAATGATATATATATATATATATATATATATATATATATATATATATATATATATATATATATATATATAGAGAGAGAGAGAGAGAGAGAGAGAGAGAGAGAGAGAGAGAGAGAGAGAGAGAGAACCTTCAACTGAAAATGAGACATGAGCTTCTTGCACATGTACGGAATTTTCTTCTGCATTACTGTTTGCTCCAGCATCGCCAAGCATATCGATGACAGATATATCTGTGGAACAGGGCAGAAAAGAAAAACAGTTCACATGAGTGATATAAGATATTGCATATCTTTTAATCATCAATATTGCTCTAAACAAAGTAGAAGTTGATAAAGGAAGGAAAATGTCAGTCCTATGAATGTTTCACTTGCAAGCCATGATTCATGTATATATAGAAACACATAAAATCTTTAGGAACATAAACATAAATTCAATCAATATTGGTACTCACGGTGCTTCGTGGACAACTTGAAAGGATCGAGTTTGTCTTTGTTTCCAACAAAATCTTCATTATGATCAGGTAAATGGAACGAAACCCTGTAAAACTATGGCTATTAAATATCCTACAGACTATTCACTAAACAAAAACTAGCACGGCTTGTAAACAGATAACAGAATGCAGCACACAGAAACTGCAAATGTGCATGTTCCACAAGTTTTGATTCAGCTTATAAGTAAATATGTAAGCCTGCTAGTTTAGTTTACTTTCTATTCTCTGGACCAGATTTCTAGACTAATATACTAAGAGAAATCAATAAGAACTCCAGAGGTCATATTTTACATTGAACAAAGCTTACTTCTTTGAATATTCAGCCTCTTTGCCATATCTCGGCAGAGTTCCTGAAACAATAGAGTACACCTCCTTGAATCTTGCCAACATACAATAGCTACAATATCAAGCAGCAAATGAATGGTTTAATCAGTGCAAAAGAAAAGGTTCAATTAAGATCACAAGCATACTTTCTTCAGTTATTTCAGATTGATCCACATGAGTGTCTTCATCGGTGAGAATCTCTAGAGAAGGTAGTGCATATTGATGGTTCGAAGTGCAATCCTCATTCTCGGACTCGTCCCTTGCTTTGGAAGAAGGAAAACAAAATTTAATATAATGGAAATTGAAATTTTAATATCACTAGCATTTCTTAGAAGGGTGAAAATTCATTAACTATATGCCATTTCGAAATTACCATTGATGCAACTGGTCTGGTGTTCCTGAGCTAGAATTGATATATTTTCCAGACTAAGAATATCAAGCGATCTGTTATATTCACAATGTTGTGTGCACGAGCGTTTTCCATCAGCATAGCTCTCTAAACCGTCTATCTGCTGTTGCTGTCGTTTCCTTTGCTCAAAATATTGCTTTTGCCTATATTTATTTTAACTCTTGGCAAGTAAAGTAAGTTAACTCCATATCATGTGGAACAATTACAAGAATTTTGGCAGCAATATCAGGCTGAAGAGTGGTTGATTAAAATTGTCAATGGATAAAGTCAGAATGTGTTTTGTACCTTTTTTGAGTTGACTTTCTTGACTGAAAGTTCTCCATCCCAGCATAATTAGCAACCATAACACAAGTCACATGCAACAGAAATGCTTTAACATTAATACGGTAAGCAAAATAAGAAGCTGGAACAATTCAAATAACAAGACTCACATCAATTGTCACTATTTTGACCTAAGAAACCAGAAAAAACATAGAACAAAAGAACCAAGAGTTTCATCTAAATCTATTTATTCCTAAGAGTAGAGACTTCAAAATGCAAACCAAAGCTCAGTGTTTACTAGGATGATGTGTGTCATTGGCTTTACAAAGTCGACATAGTAGAATACTAGAATTGGGTATCAGACGAAATGGTGACACTTCAACCAGAACAAGTTTATGGATATCATCAGTTCATACAGTTAACTAAAAATGAAAAAGTATAATGTTTTGTTGAGATAAAGTTCGGCAATAAAAGAACAATAGATATAATTAAAGTAATTATACTTCAGTGCAACGACAACAAAGATCAACACAGCCTGTTAGAGCATATAGATTTTTTAACAAGTTTAATCTTTCGGGACTAAAACCAGGAATTTAGGCCCAGATTTGTATAATCTAGGTTTAATCTCTATGGTAAATCATGATTTCATTTTGTTGTTATGATTTACCAAATTTGATTTCTTGTAATAGTAACTGACAGATCACGTCTCGCAGTTTTTTCACTAATTTAATAAATAAATTATGAAGTGCATGCAGAATAAAATTAATTTGAACATCAACAAGACAATACATCAACCAATTACTGCAGCACCAATAGGCAATAACTCCTCTCGAAAAATAAACGGTCAATAAAAAGTACTTATGAAGTATGAACTGGCATATATTCTCTGTTCACAGAGTAATAACATAAGATGAAAAGGAGTTGGTTGCGTAAAAATACCGTTGTCACCTTCCGCCTTGATCCACCCATCCATTGTAACATTGTGAACTGTAAGATACCTTGAGAACCGAAAAAAAAAAAAAACATTAAAAAAATCAGAAAAATCAAATTTACATAACTCTTCGTTTGCAGTAGCCAAGGCAAACGCAGCACATACATCTACATCAATAACTGAGGACAAGTCATTAGGTTTTTCAGCGACGTTTTCACTTCATTTATCATTATGCAACTCATAATATACAGATAAATGCAACTGCGGAACCTTTTAGGGCAAAATTAAAATCGCCTAAGACCAAAAACAAGCATAATTTCTCCAAAATCAAAGGGAAAATTGACCATTTCACAATATAACGTACATAGACAAAAGGTGCAACAGTTTAAAACTAAACGTGGAGTGCAGTTGCCTCAGGCTATGAAATTAAACAGAACAAAAATTGGTTCAATCACAAAAATGTCTATCAAAATGTAAACTCTCGGTTCAACGGCGAGGAGAAAATATGCACGTGTGCCGAAGGGCAAAAATACCTAATCACTGGAGAACAGCGCTGGAATCGCAGAACATCGGCGGAGAAATTTACAGTCGTGTGATCGGCCGGAGAGATTGGTCGGGGTGAATATGGGCCCAGGCAACGGCGAAAATGGCGGGAATGCTCTGAAGTTCCGACGAGTTGAATGGTTAGCTATAGCAAAACGATTCAGTGTTTTAGTGTGATTGCTTGAATTTAGTGGGAAGCAAATTATGAAATAAATCTACCAAGTGAATAATGATAGAATATATAGTTATATACTTTGAGAAAATTGATTTTTCAGTTCTTTTCTGGCGGAGACAAATTGCAATTTGGTCCCAAAAATGCAATTTAGGCATGGACACAAAATAGTTGCAACTTGATTTAAATTTGACATACCCAAATAGAAAATTACATAACTACCAGGCAACATTAATTACAAAACTTGCCTCATTAAATAATTACAGAACTGTCACTCACTAGATGATTAATTAATGAGGGGTAAACTGGTAAATTTAGATGGATAAGGAGCTCACGCTATGTTTAACTTAGAAGGCGAGAGTGCAGTGTCAAAACTCAAAAGTATACTTTTGAGGACCCAACAATATATGAAACTAGTTCATAGGTATTTACGAGTAAAAAAACCCCGACAAATAATCCAATTTCGACCAATTTTAAGAATTCAAACTGAAATCGAAAATTCCGGCTCCGATTTCCATCCATTTTATTTAATTTCTCATATTAAAAAAACAGACTAGAGATATACACATTGAGAAATCTTTATAGCAGATACTAAAACCCAACCACACACCCAAAATACAGTACTTAGACACATCAATGAAATCATTCACCACCAAATAAACAAATTTCTTCACAAGGACCTTGGCTTCAGTACAATAGTAGAGTGCTTCAAAATATGCAGACTGAACTGCCCACCCTTCTCACTAGTATCAATCCTCTCCTGCCCAGGTGGCGGCAGCATCTCGAAATTCTGCACCAGCCTCCCCAAAGTAACCCCGAGAATCGGCAGAGCAAGTATAATACCCGGGCAGCTTCTCCTCCCCACACCAAACGGCAGATAACGGAAGTCGTTACCGTTCGCCTCCACTTTCGACTCCTCCTCCAAGAATCTCTCCGGCCGGAACTCCTCAGGGTTCCGCCAGGTGGCGGGGTTGTTGGCCAGCCACCAAGCGTTGACCAGGATCTTGCTCTCCGCCGGAATGTCGTAGCCGCCCAGCTTTGCTTCGTGGAGGTTCATGTGAGGGACTAAAAGGGGAATAGCCATTCTTAAGCGGAGGGTTTCTTTGATCACCGCTTGGAGGTAGGGTAGCTTGTGCGTGTCGGGCTCGGTTATTTGTACTCCGGGCCCCACCACTGCGTCGATTTCGTCTCGGAGCCTTTTCTGGATTTGCGGGTGGTTGACTAGCTCGGCTATGCCCCACTCGACTGACCAGAGCGTTGTCTCTATGGCTGTTGCATTTGAATGAAGTGTTTGTTAGCGTGGTGTGCATTTGAACACATAAAATGATTCAATTCAACACACGATGTATCAAACGTGTGGTGGTTGCGAAATTTGAAATTTGAACACGAGTGCGACATAAGTGACGTGGACGTCAGATATACCAATTGTAAAGACATGTGCAATATTTTGATACACTTGAATCACTTAAAGAACTAAAGTAAATGGCTTTAAAAGATTTCAACCTGCAGCAACCCCACGAATAAATGCGACACCGGCCAAGGGGTATCATTTATATTGCCAATTTATAGGTGCACATATTTCTGTCTACCACATACCAACCAAAGCTAAACATATGAGCACTAGAAGAATTTTTCTTTTATTTTTTTAAATTGCCTTATAACATTGTCTTATAAGTTTCAACACGTGCACCGAAAGTATTTTGAAAACCTGTTTGGTTCCATTCAAACAAAACATAGTGATCGATTGTGATTTCTAACCAAACACCCACAATAGTCTCCATTCGATCCAAATACCACTTACGCAGTTACGTTTAATAAAAAAAACAACGAGAACACCGAAAAGAAGGTTAAAGAATTTACCAGCAACGTTGATGTTCTCAACAATGTACAGCACATTATCCTCACTGATTTCCCCCTTTTGTTGGGCTTCAAGAATGTGATCGATCGCACATTTTAGGCCGTCATTGTCCACTGGCTTTGTGCTTCCGAGTTTCCTGCATCATCAAATTATCGAGATTAACATCTTTCCTTCAACCCAATATTCATTACTTACACGAAAATGGGGACTTGAGGTTTTCTATTCTCGGAACCTAAACGAACTCTTAAAAAAATCGAATCGAAACAGAATTGCAGATCGTGAACACTAGAAGAACCAGGTGACTATCCAGTAAATCAATTGACAAATCATGGCAATTAGCAAAGACCTAATTTAAGACAATACCCAATTCGAAATCGATTCGACATTCGGCATAGTTCATCACTACACATAGCATAATTCATCAACATTGGGCAAAAGTGGAAATACTTACTTTCTCTCATCAACAAAATAATCCTTGAAAAGCTGAAACCTCTTCTCCTTAACCTCCTTGCAGATCTTGAGATACCCTTTCAACAGAGGCCGCAAAATCGGGATAAAATCGCCGTAATTGTACTCGAAGCTCTGCGCCAGCCTGCTCCTCTCTCCGTTCAGAGATTTCAGCTTCACGAACAAGGGGTCGTCCTCTCTCTCAAACCTTCTGTCGAACATGATGCGGTACATGTTGTTGTACATCATCAATTGGAGCCGCCGCCTCAGCACGATCCCCTCGGTCGCCGCCGCCGGATTGCTCCTCACGTCGTCGACCACGGCGGCGATCTCGGCCTCCCAGCCGTGGCGGTACTGCTGGACCACCTTGTTGGTGAAGAAGGGCACCGTCATGATCCGCCGCATCTTCCGCCAGTGCTCGCCGTAGACGGTGAACACCATGTCCTGGCCCTTGCCGGTGAAAATGTCGAACACGACGTTGCGCGTGCGGGAGCCGAACTCGACCCCCTGGGTGTGGAGCACCTCCTTGGCCAGCTCCGGCGAGGAGACGACGACGAGGTTGCGCTGCCCCATACGGAGCAGGAATATGTCGCCCAATCTCTTGGCGTAGTCGGTGAGGTTGCGGTGGTTCAGGTCGTCGCCGACTTGGAGCCAGTTTCCGAATATCGGAACTGGAATCGGACCCGGCGGTAGCTTGAATTTCCGGCCGCGCAGCTTGGAGACGATGGTGGCGACGGTGACGGCGAAGAAGAGACCGATGAGGGTCTTCTCGAGGAGGAGGAGATCCATATCTCTGTAGGGCCGTGCTCAGATGGAAAATGGCGGTGGTTTGCGGCGGAGGGAGGTGGTGGTGGGTAATTTTAACGGTGGTTGGAGAGAGTAAGTAGCGGAGCTGTTTCAGTAAGTTGGTCGAAACGCGAGGCTTTATAGAAGAAAGGCGCGTGGTAGGTGGTGTGGGAGGTGAGCGATTGGATTTAACGGCGTCAGAAGATAACGGAGAAATGGGCGGAACTGTTGGGTAGGTAAACCGGGGTTTGGTGGCGCAAACGGCAAAAGTTACAAAAGTTGCTACATTGGAATATACAATCAATATTAGAAGTTTAGAAGACATTACGGATGTGATAAATGTCGTTCGAGCTTTAATATACTGTTACGATTTCAAACGTGATTTTGATCATTTTTTAATTTAAAATTTTGCAAAATCCGAAAAATAGAATTTGTAGTATTCTGAGTTAGTTTTATAATCCAACTTGAATCACCAAAATTGGATGTCGGAAGAGAAAGATATACATGAATCAATGAATAATGCCCATAACTTTGATGTATTGAGGTATCTAAAATTCAAAATGTGACTCATTCATGCATAACTTTGTCACACGGCATCCAATCTAGCGGATTTAAATTGGATTAGAAAGCTAACCCAAATGACTACGGTTTTCGTGTTTCGAATTTTGCCAAAATCAAAATAGAAATATATCAAAATTAGGTTCGGAGTCAAAACGATATTAGTAAAATTGAAATGACATTTAACATTTCATATAATTAATTTGTAGACAAACATATTGTGTTGTGTTCTTTCCAAAAAGGAAAAAAATTAAATTAAATTTAAAATAAAAAATGGTGGACCTCATGTAAATCGTGTGTTTATATTTAGTGTTTGGTGGGAGTGGATTTACACTAGGTATTTTTATGTTGTACATTGATGACATCCTATTGGGATTAGGGAACCCCTTATTATATGTTAATAAAATAATGAATTTTATGTAATCATTAGTATCAAGTGTCTTATAATTTTATAATTGAGTGACTAATGTTTTTCTTCGCTTAGATTTGGCAGCTATATTATTGGGCAAGAGAGATCTATTATTATTTATTTATACCATGACATCATCTCACATGTCAAAATACAATCTAGTACAGACTTGAAGCGATGGTCTAGCGATTGATCAAAGTTTGAATCCCTTGTCAACGGTCGAGCACACATGATTAATCTAGTGTAGTTTACGTTTCTCGTATAATTTGCAGGTTATTATAAGAAAGTGTATGTTTTACTAATTGCACACATATGCATTCCGGGTTCTTTCATTAGAATGACATTTATTCTGGACTTGAATATTTAAATTACTTAGGTACTATTACATTACGTACAATAATTCTTAATGCACATATTGAATGGCAGGTACACTAAATTGGTTGTTATTAGAATGTCAATTGTTGTGGTATGCCTATATTAGTTAACCTACTACCACTCCTGAGGTATGGTCAAATTACGAAAACCCCCATTTTGTTTGAATAATTACAATCACCCCCTCAACTCCTCAAATTTAGTGGAATCTTTGAGATTATATGGAATATTATGACTTTTTGTACCCGTTTATCCCATTTGAACTCTACATTTTGAAGCAAGATGATCATAATATGTGTTTTTGGTTTGTATGTATCAAATTGTGGTGCATCAGAAACTGTATTTTTACACAAAACGAGTACAAATTAGAGCACATTCCACGAAATCTAGATGATTATGTTGAATTTGACACCATAAGGGTGGAGGTGTAAGAAAAAATCATAGTTGAGGGGTAGATGTAATTATCCAAACAAGAGGGCTTCTTTTGTAAATTGACCATACATCGGGGGTGTTTGCTATTTACCCTTTCATTTTCCTCTATTTTCAACCGGGTAATTTATGCCGGGTCGGGTTGGCTCCAATTTCATTTAGCCCAACAACCTTGTAGTAATTTTCTATTTCAAAAAAGATGAATCAGGCCCAAAACGAAAGGCCCATAAATATTTCAGGCCCGGCCCATTTAAACTTGCGTGTTTATTTTAAGATAGATTGAGAACTGAGAATGGGTTCACTTTGAGCTAACTAAGCCCTAACATGCAGATAATGTAAAAGAGACAAACTATAACAAAACGAGCAAAACTACTACTAAAAGATGCTGAACTCATTAGATATCATGATAAATTATCAACGACTAGCAAAAACAATTAAAAGACGAGTGTAACAAACGAGCGAAACTATTAAGCTACGGTGAACGACCGTAGATCGCTATTAGAGAACGTACGTACTATAAGAAACAAGTAAACGAGCAAAACTATTAAATTATTTGTTGGTTTTCAATCCAACATATCATAATTGACTCGTTGGCTGCAACATCATCGGACAACGATATCGTGCTTGTGCTTCTATCTTCCAAATCAAAGATGTAGAGGTTCTTGTCGTTTTCATTTACATAGTAAATCGAGTTTGGTTTTATACTTTTATTCCTGTAGAAGAAGGACAACAATATCCAATACTATCGTCACTTACAAAAATTGTCCAGTTCCCGATATTCTGTACTTCAATGCACTTCATTTGATTTGTATCAAATAAGAAAATTGTGAAGTCCAATACCTCTTTACGATCATGATCATGATCCGGGTATACTTTCTGAACCAACAAGGGCTCCCCACCGTCGGGTTGTGCTGACTCGATCAACCATGTATCATATCCAAGCGAAACATAATGAATGACCCAAGGCTCCATTGGTATCTCACTGAACTCGATAGTATTCCCACAAAATCAATAGCAACAAATTTGTCGGGATCCATATAGCCGTAAATCTGACCTTGAAAACAACCAATTGTAAAAAGATGTTCATAACCAGGACGGCCATTTGTTTTTTCTTCTTCATATTGTTGTTCTACTGTACGTGTAACATATTCTTTGTCTCCGATCCGGCAAAAGGATTGTTCCAAGCCGTTGAATAAAATATAACAATCCGGTTCTGTGGGGGGTTTGGTGAGGATACATCGATCGTAATCGATCCAATCAATTAAATTTGGGAGCCCGATTATATCATTGGTTATTAGATTGAAAAGACAACAATTAGAATCATAATCATCTTCAGAATCGATCGGCTCCACTAAAATCAACCATCCGTACGAAGAACCGAGTATCTTTTTACCGCTCAACATCGGGATATTTAAATTGCGAAACAGTTTCTCCGACGCATCGTAAATTGAATGTTTCTCCAACGAATCCCCGTGAGTTACCGTAAGCAACGGAGTTCCGCGAGCTCCGTTTTCCATAGTAAAGAGTCTAAACACACAAAAATATAATTGACAATATTTCTTCTGCAAAGACACAAAAGAGAAAGGCTAATATTTGATTGCAACGTAACGTGGGTATATATATAAGAATAAGGATTTTAGGGTTATTTGAATATATTTAGGATTTCTATGGCGCATCATAATTTAAAGGAACTCTAATTAGTAATCAATTAGGAAACCGATTCTAAAGAAACCTCTAATTACTAAGGAAATATATTCTATTTGTCAAATTAATAAATAATTAATTAAAGATATATATGTATGGGAAGTCGTATGTTTGTATTGGTGTATTTTTTTGGAAAATAAATCGGATATTAGAGATTCCAAATACTTTTTATGTAATTCCAATTCCAGTTAAAAAAATAGGAAATATCAGAAATCGGAATTAAAAAAATGTTCCAAAAATAGAAGTTTGTGGATCGGAACCAGCAAAAAGTTGGAAATTTCATACCACCGTACACTGCTAATAGAAACACATTACAAAAACAAAACGAGTAAATAAAAGATGAAACATGTGTTACCTTTCGGAGTGTCTCCGATTCAAACATTGGTACGAGTACTACGAGCGATTATTTGAACTTGTAGCCTACTGACCCAACACAAAATACCCAAATCAAAAAGCATCAACTCATAATAGGAGAATATCGGGGTCGTGTACTTACCCGAATATCCGACCCGACAACTATCTATATACGATTTTCTTATGGTTTCAATTATTTCATTTCAGAATATTATATGATTTAATTTAGCCTTGTTACATTGTAATATTTAATTATCCATTTTTATCTGCGACTGGAGATGTAATAATTTTCCTATTTCAAAAAAGATGAATCGGGCCCAAAATCAAGTTCAAATAACTGGTTTGAATCAAAGCAGGCCAAAAGTAATATCGAATAAGAAATCCGGCCCGCTTCATTTGTTATAACCAAAAGATCAATGCATGGTGTATATAATATATATATAACTAGCATTTTCCCCCGTGCGATGCACGGGATATTATTTAAATAGTGAAAAAAACCAATGTTTTTAAAACCGGACCGGACCGGCCGGTCCGACCGGTTCAACCGGGAACCGGAAGCCAGTCCGGTCCGGTTAAGCATGAAAACTCAGATGCTCCAAAAAACCGGTCGGAAGGCGAACGACCCGGAAAACCGTCGGTTGAACCGGAATATCCCGAACCGGAAAAAACCCGGGTTTCGTCACTAACTGAAATTTTAAGCCAATTAATTTATAGATCTGACTGAGTTTAAAAAAAATGTATATAGATCTGATTAGCAAGATGATAGAGAAAGAAGAAAAAGAGAAAAGTCAGTCGAGTTTGCCGCTGAAATAGACGAAGGGCTGTTGCTCCGATCTGGATATAAGTTCTACAATGGTGGAAGAAAGAAGAAGACGAGATGGAGGAGGAAAAGAAAAAGAATTTGGCGTGGGGTAGGTGGCTGGGGTGCGTTGGAGTTTGTGATGTGTCTGTTTTGAGAGAGAGAGGACTTAATCATATATGAAAAAAAAAAACAGAATATAGGTATAAATAAAAACTATTTAAATATATTAATAAATTTAGTTAATTAAATTATTTCTTTTTTGTAGATGTTCAATAAATTAATTCAAAATTAGCTTAATATTATTGTATTGAATTTTTATGACGAATAAATTTATTAAATTATATTTTTTTAAAGATAATAATATTATAATTATTCACAAATAATTCAAAATAAAAAATATTCAAAAACCCGGTTGGACCCCGGTTGAACCGGTTCGACCGTGCCCCAGTTGACTAGCCGGTTCAATGTCCGGTCCGGTTTTCAAAACAT